GCCTTTCTTTCAAATACAACAAGTACTGCATGTCCACATTTTTCCACTGATCCTCTTTGGGGAGCACAGCTGAGGCCAACGCAGCATTCCACAGCTGCACACAGATGTTTCACATGTTTTTCTCTCTCTATAACATCCTGAGGTTGTGTGTTCAATGCCGCAGTGAGGCAGGCAGAGGCAAAACCCCCTCTGGAGTTCAGCTGCAGTCTCAAAAGTCTTAATATACACTCTTAGAAAAATGTCTTCCAAAAGGTTTCCTACTGAAGGGCTGCAGCTCTACCAAGACCATTAGCTTCTGAAAAAACTTTCTTGAAACAAGGGTTCTTCAAGCATGCTGTGTAAGACTAAGGGTGCCATGAAGAACCCTTTTCATCTAAGGCAGGGGTGTCCAAACTTTTTTTAAATAGGGGCCAGATTACATAATGTGACAATACCTAGGGGCCAGCTGCATCTCACATCACATCGCATCACAAACACAACTGTCGTCTGCCCTCGTTGTCGACTTCATGCTTCTTTGCTATGGCCATGTCTGCTACTGAGCAGGAAGTGTCAGCTGCTAGGTTATTTGCATGTTTACTGTCCGTTTATGAGAACACATTGGCTCCTCCTGTGTAGTTCCTACTTGGTGCGTGTCTACAGACTGTATGACAACTGTATGACTTGCTGATACACAAATTTTGTGTCAGGCCACATATAGTATATTTATGAGAAACAAGGTTCTAATTTGGAACAAAGTTTTGGTTTCCATCCCCACTGCACCACTGAAATAATATAGGCTATAGTAGTAGTGAATTCACAACATCTCCTCCACCTTAAAACCTGATTGTGAACCATTAGTGTTGTGGGTTGTTCTGGACCACATCAGCCGCTGCCCTTCAGGGACCTCATGAAGCCCAAGGCCGCTGGATGTGGTTTGTTTGGCACTGGGAACCAGTTATTGGCCTGCTAAACTGGAACCATGGCTAATGGGAGAGAGATCTATGGGTAATGTAGTCAACTTCTATTTTAGAGCCCTCCTGGGTGGGTACTAAATGAAACCCTTGGGATATAGAACAGTTCGTGTTAGGATACCCTGTGTGGGATCTAGATGAAGCCCTTGGAATGTAGAAGGGTTCTCGGTAGGACGCCCAAGGTGGGATCTAGATGAAACCCTTGAGGTATAGAAAGGTTCTTAGTAGGACACACAGGGTGGGTTCTAGATTAAACCCTTGGGATATAGAAGAGTTCTCGGTAGAACCATCTGGGTGGGTTCAAAATGAAACCCTTGGAATAGAGAAGGGTTCTTGGTAGAACATCTTGGGTGGGCTCTAGATGGAACCCTTGAGATATAGAAGAGTTCTTGGTAGGACACCCAGGGTGGGCTCTAGATGAAACCCTTGGTATATAGAACAGTTCGTGTTAGGATACCCTGGGTGGGATCTAGATGAAACCCTTGAAGTATAGAAAGGTTCTCAGTAGGACATCCTGGGTTGGTTTGAGATGAAACCCTTCTGATATAGAAGGGTTCTCGATAGGACACCCAGGGTGGGTTCTAGATGAAACCCTTGGGATATAGAAGAGTTCTTGGCAGAACCATCTGGGTGGGTTCAAAATGAAACCCTTGGGATACAGAGGGGTTCTCGGTAGAACCTTCTGGGTGGGTACCAGATGAAACCCTTGGATTGTGAAAAAGTTCTCAGTAGAGCCTAATAGGTGCATTGTTGTTAACACTCTTAGAAGGTGGAAAGGTGTTGGATTGAACCCCCAGAGAGGGTTGTAGGTGGAACCATTAAACCATAGAAGGGTTTTCTGTAGAACCTCTCCTAAGTGGTTCTGGGTGGTACCATTCATAGATGGTTCTAGGTACAACCATCTAGGTTGGGTTCTAAGTATTACCCTCTAACAGTGTTCCAGAAAAAAGAAAAGAAAAAAGTTTTACCAAGATGCAAAAATGGCTCTCCTATGGGGTAAGCAGATGAACTCTCTTTGGTTCTAATTAGCACCTTTATTTCTAAGAGTGTATGTTATACACATTATGCTCTTACTCTGAGGAGATTGAAAACAGACAGGTGTGAGGAAGGAGGACTTGTGCAACAGACACTGGTGACAGAACTGATAAATGCACATGGCTTCTTGGATGCAACTGGTTGTAACACGTCCAACGTACCTTCATGACGGCTGTCTCTAAGACTGCGTCTAGGAAGAGATTCATCTCTGTCAGCTCCTCTGTTGTAACTCGTTCAGCCACGCCTGTGGACCGCTCATAGTTGTCGAGGAGTTTCATGAAGCCTGCAGGAACAGAAATCCTATTTATCACAGTGAAGGCTGCAAATGAGCTCAAAGTCTATAGGCTCAGAAAGATGGAAACTATTTCTGTCTGTTACAGAGACACTTACGAGAGATGGTGGTTATGTTCTTCAGTTTGTTCTCATTGACATTGGAGAACAGAGGCTGTGAGGCGTGATCCTGGACGACATGGCTGCCCTGGGTTACAAAACCAGCTCTGCCCTGGACAGTTCAAAAAGATTATACGTTTGTAAAATCATAAGTGCAGTGTTTTCTGAATGAGACCATGCTTCATACCTGAACAGAGACTGTGTAGTCTGTCACAGGTGTCAGACGATTCACATCCAGGCTCCACAGCTCATTGAAAATATTGGATAGTTCCTGGTTTACAGCTGGTCTGTACAGTCAAGGAGGAGAAATACAGACAGCTGATAAATATCAGCAAACTCAGCAAACACAATAACTCATGAGAAATGTCCTTATAGGCTACTGTACCTTGATGCATTCAGTCCACTGAGAAACACAGTCAGAAGGACGAGGACTCCACAGAACCTGTACATCACACATTTAATACATGTTATATACACATCAGTGTGGAAATAAAATATTTAGTCTACTGACTAACAATAACGATAACAATAACGTTGTTGTACAGTCATAAAAGACAGAGTTACAAGCTGCAACACTGCGACCAAACTGAACTTACCTACAGGCATTAAGTTTATTTCCAGAGTAGTGTTTCTCAAAATAAATGAATAAATAAATACACACCTTGGAGCCATGATGTTTCTCGCAAACTTCCACTCCCAGAGCTCGGACTGCAGTGAAGTGCGCTGCTATCTGTTTCACTTAAAGTCCAGTCTCCACCCGCACTACATGTCCTGCAGGCGTTGAAGCGTGTGCCTTTACTGCGCATGTGCAGATCTGAACAAATTCGCTCAGACGCTTTAGTCGTACGGCCACCAGAGGGCGCGCTGTCTCATTGATTTGATAAGATAATCCTTCATTGATCCTCAGAGGGGAAATGCAGGTGTTGCAGCAGCACAGAGACAGAACTATGTACAAATAAATACTACTTTAAAAAAAGAAATAAATAAAAACAAGAGGCATACATAACTAGTATAGTGTAGAAGTAAAAATATAAACTGTACAAGAGCAATTAAAGACAGAGTTAAGAGCTAAAGAGACAAGTTAGGAGGTAAAGTGACACGGTATGACGAGTCTAGTTTATGTTAACAGTGTGCACCATAATAATTTATACTGTGATTAAGTAATACTTGTCAGTATTAATATAAAAAATAGAAGTACATTTGAGTGAATGATTCCTGGTTGTTTTTACACAGCTGTCTTACAGAGAAAGCATGGTTTGCAAATATCTAACATGAGCAGGCCTCCGACTCTGAGTCATTCTGCTCATAATATTCTCAGGCTTGTTGCTTGTTCAGCAAAGATGAATCTGTTTCTGGGGTGTGAACTCACATGTAGAGAGGAACAAAATGGGGTCTAAGGGTCAAAAAGGGTCTAAGGAGAGACAACATTTGTCCTGGATACAGGCAAGATGTGGATGAGTGAACAAACTGCAGAAAATATTTTCTCAATTTATTTTCAGTTTTGACATTTGTGTCACTTACTGTAAAAATTTGGCTTTCTGTTTATTAAAATCGTTCCAACAATACCCAGATGCTCTAAATTTATTGACACTGGAGAACCATAGGATTTGACCTAACCCTGACACCCTCAAAGCTCTATGTGTACCATACAGTCTATGATGCATACATGCATTTCAGTGTGCAAACTTGCCACCCTGCACAGGGATCACCCACCACTTTTGTGGGGTGGCATGTTTGCATACTGTATGTGCACATCTATAAAAGTGTTAGCTAATTTTAGAAAAATGTGGTATTCAAGATTTTAAAACTAGGTTTTTGATGAATAAATAATCTGTTCACCTGATTTTCTTTTTCATAAAACTATAACTTCACTCGTCTTCCATTCATCTTTCATAGAGAGGAGAAGAGTGGAAACATTAAGCTTGAACCCTTAAATGGAAACTATAAGTATCAGTTTATGTCTGTTTACCTTTTTTTTTTTTTTTTTTTTACTACAACTACCCTTGAAAGGTGCGCCAAATCTCTCTACAGTGAATGTTGGCATGACAAACAATGCAAAAAATGTCTTAAATAAAAAAATAAACAAGAGAAAATGTCTTTTTTCTGGATTTCATCTTCAATCATGTTTGTCTTTGTAATGGATATTATGCGTTGGAAAATCAAAGGGCCCTGTATGTTTATCTGGTTTAAATGTTATGTTATAGGTTGAACAACCTTCAGAAGGGTCACACCTGGAATTGGTCTCTCTTAAGTACAAGGATGGATGAATCAGTTGGTTCATGTCATTGTAAGTAGGTGTTCTAATATGTCTGCATGTAACTGTGTATCTTTTATGTTTTTTATTGTGTGGTTGTTTGGCTGTGACTTTTTTCTATGCTGCCATCTTGGCCAGGTGTTCCTTGTTAAAGAGGTCGTTGATCTCCATGGGACTTACCTGGTTAAGTATGGGTTCAATTAAATAACAATAAAAATGTTTTGTACGGTGCACACATTTTAAACAATGCTCATGGGGTGCAAACCATTTCCTGTGCCACCGTTTCCAAATGCTTCAGTTAAATGATCGTATAAAAATAAGGAAAACCTTGTAACCCTACACAAACAGAAAAGGCACAGGCAATACAGTGATAGTTTCGAAAAGTTTTAGTCATCTGATGTAGTTTTGAAATCTGAAATCTCAATTACAGTGTAGTTACCTGTGAGCTGTTTGCTGTGGTGTCCTCCCTCGTCTCTTAAGTACACTTGTCTTGCAGGTTGCTCAGTTTATATTTCTCCAAACAGTAAGCACAATCAAAGTTGAGCTATAATATCAATACAGAGGAGTGCAGGTGATATGCTTTCAATTTATTGCCTCTATCTGTAGGAAATAATTCACATTAGACTCTTTAAACAGCCATGTCTTTAGGACAGTTTTTCATCATTTCATCATCTCACTCGTCCTCTATGTTAAAGACGTCTGATGAAAACCCAAACTGATTTAAATTACTTTATTGATCTTAAAAATGGATAAACGTAAAAAACAACAAAAAAAAAAAAAAGGTTTAACTTCTCCTTTATGGTCGAGGGTTGCATCACTATTATTTTTGAAAAAACCCGTCATTATCTCACAAACCTTTCCAAAAATACCTGTGTCAGCCAACAGGGGTCCATCAAAAATCAATTTATGGTAAAAAATAAAATAAACAAAAAGCTCTTATATAAATGTGTTGAATTCCAATACCATGCAATGATACCTATTAGGGTTTGTACTGTATGATATGTACTGGTGCAAATACATGTAGAGTATTACTGTTGAGCAAAAACCTGTAAAATGTTCAGCGTAGGATAAAATATGACAGTTCCCATGTAAGTAGCAGGGTTTAGTTCTGTAGAAAACATAGCAGCTGTTTCGGAGTTATCAATTTACACCCAAAAAAAAAGAGGGAAAAATCTTCTCAGCATATCACTTCTTTTTTTCAACATTTCTACAGTCAGAAGGCAACGTAAAAGACATATATTAAAATCTATATTGGCTTATTTTAGATGTCTTTTTCCTGCTGGTTGACACTTCTGTTCTATCAAAAATAGAAATGTGCCAAAACACAACTGAGTACAAAATATCTCCAGAAACCAGCTGGCAGGCGAGCAGTGGTGTTGCCCTACATGTTCCCACTGTCATCAGACGACAGTGATGGAGACAAAGTTCAGGAGTGATAGTGGCGACTGGACTGCAGGCTTTCACAACACCGTCGTTTAAAACTGAAAAAACAAAGACACTAATACTTTTGGCTCATCTTTGAACGTAACACTAAAAAAAGAAATGTGGGAGCATTTGGGGAGTTTGTTGAGACAAGTCTGTGTGCGAGTGGAGAGGATTGGCACAGAGTTTCAATCACAGCAGGACCAGGTCTCGTGGCGCTGGCAGTCTCATGCATTGGAGTCCTCGTCTGTTACGCTGGGGTTCGGTGAATTTGAAGCCTCTTTGAAGAATTCATCATCCTTTAGCATGCTCTGGTAAAAGCCACAAGACAGAACAAAATATATATTACGCTCATGACACAATTTTATCTATAAGTACAACATGCTATGTGTCCTGGTCAACGTTAACAATGTTTAGCACATGGGTCTTAAGTGCATTCAGGGCATGTTCAACCACTTTTGCGAGTTAAACAGTGCATACTCTGGGCACAAAGTGGGACACAAGGTGTAAAAGGATTGTATTTAGTCGCTTTATTAGTCGTAGGTGTGTATTTACATGTCAGATTTAGCAAATTGGAGAAGCAGGCAGTTTTCTGATGAGAGTACCGCAGTAATATCTAATACAGATTTGGACATTTAAGCAAAAAAACTCAAAAACTGTAGTTTTAACCTTGATGGAAGAAACAAAAATAAACTTTGAGCTTCTGAAATAATGAAAGTTACGCTGCTCCTTGTGCATAAATGCACTCAGCGTCTCTCTTCAGCCTTGTTTCCACCAAGCAGTCCAGCTCAGTTCAGTTCAGTTCAGTAAACATTAGTTATTTTTTTGTTTCCATGGTGCAAACTTGTGGACAGTACCAACATAACCGTCCCCTTTTTTTGTAGCTTACGGTTTTGTCTAGATGGAGCTAGAAACACTGCAGTCCGTTGATTGGTCAATAGAGATCTGTCACTCTTGCTCATGGCCGAGTTGTGTCTGGTTTTAAAGCTTATGTGACACATTCTCATATGATAACAGGTTTTACATATAGTAGTAAACTATAACTATAAAATCAAAGGATGTTTTGCTGCCTTTAAATTTTTACTACTTAACGCTTAGCAGTTATAGCCTTAGAAAATAATTTAATTCACTGGGCTGACTGCAGGCAGCTACCAGCAACGTTTGAGGTGGGACGATTTCTTGAAATGTTACTCAATGTGTGAGCTGACGATGTGAATCAATCAACACACACCTTACATTTCAATACGACAACTTTGATCATTCATTTTGTTTTCACTGGCTCCAGTCTATTTCAACCAGATTATATGAACTGCAACTATTCCGTTTCCTCACTTAGAGACAAAAATGAGTCGGAGCGTTGCTCCAGCAGCACTACACCCCTGCTTTTGCCTGACAAGGACTGAATGCACAACCCTGCTATTTTGAAATATTCCATTTAGAGAGATTCTCATGGCAGCCTGTCTTTTTTGTTCTGAAAATGTCAACATGCAACCCCGTTCCGTGGATGATAAATGAGGTGCAAATGCTCCTCTGCATCACCGGTGAAGAGGACTTACAGGGAGACCTGGGAGGAGCAGTGAGCACAACAACCCCGCCTACATGTAAGAAGACTGTCTGCAGTAGAAACACTTTACAGATCTGGGACAAGAAACATGTCCTTAAGGGTTATTTATGGTTCTAAAGGTACTGTACTGAAAGTTTTTGGTGGAAACGCAGCTTTAATGGCAAGTCAGACAGCAGCCTCACTCTGCTTTTTGCTGTGTTCACATCTTTGAGAATGTAATTAGTATTCATCCTATAATGATGCATCATTTCACCCATCCACAACCCATCAGTGTGTTTCTGTATGAGCAACAAGCAAAAAGAGTGTTTTAAACCCGCCTATGTAAGTGGATCTTACTATTGTATCTGAAAAATGTGGGCTTTAAATAGTAGAAAAAAACTGCACCATAAACACTTTAGAACAAGTTTTTGTATGTCAATGGTGAAATTGCTTTCTGCTGCCTCAAAATAGCAATACACCACAATGCGCCTGACCACACCTTATTTTAAGACCCACTGTACCAGCCCATGGGCGCACAGACAGGCAAATGTATATTTACTACTTACACATCATGGGCGCTGGCCATGAAAATGACAAGTGTATCAGCCTGAAACTAGCAATGACAGTTGCACTGTGGGCAGCTTTGTGCTGTGTGTAGGACAGGGCCAGTAGATTCTTACCGTCAGGTTTTGAATCCCCTCAGAGAACGCTCCAATCTGTCTCACAGTTCCCTCAGAGTCCTCCATCTGTGAAACAAGAGGCAGCCTTAAACTCAATAAACTGAGACCACCAACAGAGCATAAAAACTAAAGTTGACCAGACATTTCTACTAAGTAAACATCTTGTAAAAAAAAAAAGTCACCCTCCAAGTGACACTGGTGACAATGCAAACGTAAGACCACACCTCATTTATTTGTGTTTTCCCCATATAATGTACATATGCATTTAACATACATAGATTTCAGATATACTGTACATGCAATTAGATATAACCTGTTATTGCTCATGTTTTAAGTGATATAAAATCATCAGTCAACAGGCCCTTTGAAGAACAAGCTCACCTGTTCCAGCCTGTCGAGGTCGTCCTCATAGATTTGGAGCTCGAAACCTTTCTGAAAGCTTCGTCCCTTTGGCATCTCCACATCCATCGGACACACGTACTCCTCGTTGTCTTCATGCTTTTTCTTCCTCAGACTGCCAAAGTTACCAAACGACAGTTTCCTTGGCTGGTGTGAACAAGGGGAGAGAAGACAAAGAAATTCAGCATATCCATTTTAAATAGCTACATTGTGACATGTAAACTGGAATGCACATATCAATCAGGGTTCCCTTTTTTAACTAGTAAAATCTTGAACCTTTTGATAGCTTAATACCAAGTTTTTGTGACTAAACAATTGCTGCATAATCTAAATATACTTTAAAATGTCTGCTGAGTAAAAGTTGTTTAGTTTGGTGTAAAGTTTAACCATTTCAGTCTAGAGGTAGTCTTGGTCTACATATCCATAACCCTGGTAACACTTGTAACCACTGTAAGAGAAGTTCTTGCAGTAGTGTTTCAAAGTATAGACAGTCCATCCTCAAAAAGTCTTACCTTGACTTTAGTAGTGGCAGTAAGCAGAGTGTAGTCTGGGTTTTCAAGACACTCCTGTTTGAGCTGCTGGGCCTCTGAGCCAATGAGCAGGTTGAAATGTGTGGCGAGGTGACGGCGCAGCAGTGTCTTGTTGGGGGGGATGTTCAGCAGCAAAGCCATGGTCTCAACATTGAACCGTGGCTCCAAAACCTGCAGAAAAAAGAGAAGTGTCAGGAGTGGATACTTTTAGGAGAGAATGTGTTTTCCAGAAAGACTGACTGTCGGACTGTCTCACCATCAGGCCTCCGTGCACACCGCTGCCTCTCAGATTGGGAGCATATTCAGCGAGGTCCACAGACCGCAGCCACTCCATAACCCGATGGTTTGTCCACTGGGAAATCTCTGCTGGAGAAATATTGTTCTGTGGGCAAAAAGAGAAGAGTAAAAAAAACAAAAACAAATTAGAAACAGAGTATGTTTACAAACAGAAGAGCAGGCTGCTAAGCCCTATCAAATATTCTGTTTTATTTTGAGTGAATTCACCTCATCAGATGGCCTACGACGCAAGCAGTTGGGCTCGTAGTTATTAAGTCGGAGCACTTGGATAGCTCTCTTGATACTGAGGTGATGCAGGACACTCCCTACTTTCAGAGAAAGCAGGTCATCCTGAGGGACAAAATTAGACATTAGTGACTCAGTGCAGGAGCGCAGACAGTGGTAAACATTCAGGGCTTAGCCCAAATCTAGGGGGGTCCGGGCGCATGCTTTCCCTTGGAGATTTTTCCCCATTTACAGCAGCTATATGCACTATTTTTCAAACCAACTGAAGTTAAAAAAAAAGCCTAAAAATCTGCACATCATTTGGGAAAAACATGACAGTTGCCAAGGGAAAAAAGAAAATCATCCTGTAAAGTCTACATCATATTTTGTATTGAATTGTTCTCCAACTGTCTTCATCTTTCTAAAACCACAACACAACAAATGTAGAAGATGACTAATTTTCACTACTGACACCTAAAAAGAGGCAAAAACTGGCAAAAGTGCAGTTGAAGTTGTGACAAATTTTAAGTAGTATGGAATAGACTTTTGCAGTAAAAATTCCCTGAAAAAGAAGCCTCTGTAAAGAAATCACAGTCTGAACAGAGGCAGACGCTGTTTTGTGTCTTCAGCACTGTCCCAAATATGGAGGGTGAGTCCAGGTCGTCTCCTGTCCAGCTCATCAGACTCTCTAAGCAATAATCCTAACATGAGATGACACTGGACTCATCAGACCTTATCCCTGGGGTCTGTGGAGAGAGTGCATGTGTCTCACCAAAACTCACCACTGTCATGTAGTGCAGCATGCGACCATCTACCCTCCCCTCATCAAACTGGGTCTTATACTGAGGCAGACCGATGTCATCCAGCCATCCTGAGCGGAACAGGAAAGAGCAAAGTGTCATGAGAAGGAAGTTGACAGTCAAATATACACCTGGTCAGTGATCAGGAAAGCCACTCAAATCAAGCAAGACCCCTCTTGACTCCTCAACCAATCCTTTCAGTTACTGCCATCAGGTCGATGCTACAAAGTCCCACTGGCCTGCAAGAACTCTGCCATTATCAACCTGAACAAATGCAACCGCTGTTAAGACTTGACTTTGACTGGCTCTCTCACAGCCCACCAGCACTTACGGTTTCTCAGCTCACTCATCTGTGTTTTGCTCTCAGCTCGTTGATGCGATGTCTCTCTTCCTCTCTCTGTGTTTATCAAAATTAATTACCGACTGCAAAACTCATCTTTACTTGTAATGTTATCAAACAATGAGAAATATTCTCCCCTTGTCTTAAATCAATACCTGTTACTTCCTTGTTCTATGAATGAAGCAGTAAATAAGTTGAAGCAGCAGCGCTGTGTGTGTTTGATCAATCAGGGATGGTCCTCCCTGCAAACCCCACCCCAAAGTTGGTGTTCTTTCAGCAACTACTAACCCTGATCAGGGACTTTTTGTGGGGTAAAAGAATGTCCCTAGAACTTAATTTAAATTCTGGTCCCTGCGGTCAAAATGCAGTGAGTTCCTAAAAAGGTTCCTGGGTAAAGTTCCTGCGGTTTGAGGGGTGTGTATTGCTTTTAAATGTGTTTTAAATGTGCGTTGTATGATTGATGTTGAGCCTTGTTGAAGGAGAAATTGTGTTGCTTTGAGGCCGACAAAGTATCTTACCGTGCAAAGTAAAGAAGAAGAAAAAAAAAATTGGCCTAAGATTTTCTTTGACCAGCAGAGCATTGACAGCTTGCTTCATGCTGGATCACCAGCTGGTACTCACTCGTCACCCAGTTGTAGTCCAGCTTTCCCTTATTATCCTCCTCCTCTGAGCCGAGGGCCTGCAGGGCCAACTGCAGCTTCTTTCTGTGCAGCGGGTGTTTGATGCCCAGCTCCTAAACATCCCCAAGAAGACAGGCTAAGATTACAAACAACATCCCTCACGTACTACCAACTGTAGTAAATTCAAGTTTGCTAAATCATAAAATTCTTGTTGTTCATCTCACCCTCTCCAGGTCCTGTTGGGAGGCCTGTAGCAGCGTTTGTCCAGAGGAGATCCACACACGGGCCATGTTCACATAAAGGCCGAGACCCTGCCCCTGCAGCCAGTCACACACCTGGTCCTTTGACCAGCGTGCAAAGGGAGCATCAACATCACTAAGAAAAAGAAATGAAAACAGAAAAGTCAAAACTTTTTTAAAAGGTATACTGACACACCCTTGTGGTGGTATCAGAGGAAAACAAACACATATAAGTTGAAATTGTGAATATAGAACAAGCATTTTTAATCTTTCTTTTCCCACTAAACGTCTTCAAAAGTTGTCACATGATCTCTGAATTTCATCGCACACCAGAGATTCAAAACAAGCAAACCACATTCTGAGTCTCATTATTCAGGCTGAACGCACAGACTTACTTGTTGGCTCTTTGGAGGTCACGAGACCAACCCAGTCTGGGTCCTGCTGTGGCTCGCACTCCACCCCTCTTGAACTCACCCTCTGGTAGGTTGTCATCCAGGTTAAAGGTGGTAGACTGACTCCTTTTTAACCTTACAAATATATGACATTCAATATACATTAAAACATCCTCACAATCATAGAAAATGGTAAAATATTCTTGCATATCTTTTTATATTTCAAGTTGAATATGAAAATGTTACATGCACACATTTATATCCTTATTCTAGTTTTGTTATTACTTAAGAGTTATTTACTATCCTTCAAATCAAGAGCTGAGGATTCTCGTGTAACTTTCTACTCACTTCCCAAAGAGTTTCTTTATTCCTTTGGATTTTTTCCTGCCCTCCGGGGTCGTGGGGAGTGTGTGGGTACTGTCGCTGTTGGTTGATCTCTGTGGCAGCCCGGCCAGATCCAGATGGTCAGTGCCCTGTCGCTCTGTTTCAGCTGTACAAACAAATGGCCACAGAAAATCATCAGCAACATTAACATCAGTGTTGTGAGACGTGCACAGATCGACAGAGACAGAGCTACTGCACGGGGTCAGTGGAGAGACCCAGAAAACACTCAGACAGACACATGACATCTCCTAGACCTAGAAAGAATGAGAGGTCATGGTGATGGGCAGCATGCATCAGACACAGCTGGATGTCTGACTAAGACTGGAATAAAATAGTCTTATTTTATTAGATAAAAAGAAGGCTCATTAGTTGTTTTGTTTTAGATTTTTTTAGTTGGCAGCCCTCAAGATCCAAATAAATCATTTGATCTGATAATCTGGATCTTGAAAAAGATTTGTGTTTGTGGAAGGGTTTGATGGAAACAAAGAGTGTAAACAAATACATGCAGGCACACAGGTAAATCAACAACAGGCTCTCTGTATGTTGGACATTCAACTTTTGTGCAACAGCGGGTAGTGACAAGGGTGTGGCTGCTGAAGCACTGAAACGTGATATGATATAGAGATGTCAGCTGAATGGATGAGTTCAGAGAGGGCAGAGGTGTACAACAATACAAGATACATTCAGTAGTTTGCTTTGTTTCCTTCAGAGAACTACTGCAACCCTGTAATGACCTGCGGTCTATACTGTACCTAGCATAGGCGCGCTCGCACTCCGGCTGCGGTCTTCATGTGTAACAAAGCACACACAACACACGACAGGGTCCAACAGAAAAAGAACAAGACAAAGGGCAGAAATTATGATTGAAATACGAACAGGATTGGAGAGGTGGAACAAACACCGACATACATATGTACATTACACACATAAAAAAAAAAAAAAAAAAAAGCACATACACAGAACGAAGGGCAAACGACAGCACAGAAACAGACTTCCATAATTAAATGGGGACCACAGTTTGTGTGGGCTGCAAATTATGGTCTTGGTCCATATAGTATATTCCACGGGTGTGGCTTGGGAAAATAAAAAAGTCGTCCATGGTGGAAGAAAAACCTCCCAAGAAAATTTCACTCTCTAGTAAACAATCAATTACACAGATATCTTAATGTCAAAATAGCCTCAATTACAGACACAGTCACCTTGCGGACTTGTCCTGACCCAGCTGCTACATCATGTGGTTTGCTCTTACCAAGGTTAGGAGTACTGTTTGTCTTCTTGCCCCCACGGATCTTGAAGAAGCCCTTTCCAAAGGATGAACGAGCCTTTCTTGAGCCAAAGCTGTCGTCCTCTACGGTAGCAGGCAAAGTGGCAGAGGGACCCATGGGCGGCTTTTCACTGATTTTATTGATCTCTTCACTTGTATTCTGTGAATAAAAAACATTACTCTTTTAAGACTGTCATATAAACACTGTCTTACAAGTATAGTCATCTATAATATAACAAATTTACAGCAGAATATTTTTGTCTTTAAAATTTAAAATACTGTAACTTTTACCATAAAGAGAGTTTAGGGTGTAAACTGCACACAACATGTAGGATTTTCTAAAGACTATATGGATGCTATCATGGTGCATTTTACAGGCTTATGAGACAACTTTCTAGGAAGTAATGGTATGCATTTAAGGGATACTTTGCCATTTTCAACCAGCTTTGTATCATAACAATGTTGGTAGTGTGTGTCAATGAACTCTGGTAAACTTCTCTCCATATTACCAGCGTCCCTGCTCATCTGCCTGTAAAAATCTGGTGGATGTTTGTTGACTGTAGGGCTGTTGCTTGAACTACCGATTGTACTTCCTCATTTTTGCATGCCTCCCACCATGCACATTAAGAGTATAGAAGGGGATCAAGAGAGTGTCTCCCCTCTCTTGCTCTTAAATTCAGACCAAACTCAGATCAGTGCAGAAGTTGTAAAATGGAGAGATCAAATGCTAAAACTAAGCAGTGCTGATCAAATATGAACCAAGATTCTGTTACTGCGTTGCCCATTTCTCCCCTCAAATGTTTTCAGAAACATACTTTAACATACTGTTTAACTGTAATTAGAGATTGTTTGTTACCAGCTGGCAGCCATATTAATTTTTTGGACAAGCAGGCCAGAACCCACTTGTATTACATCACCCACCAGCGGGAGCATTAATTGGTCTGGTACAGTGCATTCTTGGTTTTCTACCTCTTGAGCAAAACCAAATGTCCCAGCCCTGTTACTCTGTTTTCTTTGGTCTTTTAGCAACATATTTGCATCTTTCCACTGCATAGACGGCCCAGTTTTATATAAAGACCATCTTTCCAGCGGTGAAATACTTCTTTAATCTCACTAAAATAAGATTTAAATTGTGTAACTTTTACCTTTTCATTATTGCTCTTATCCAGCTGGTCCTGGCTGCCAGTCTTTGTGGCATCTTGGCTGCTGAAATGACAAACCATACCAATGTTACTCATGGCAAAGTAGTGGAGATAGTGAGTGTGTCTCACAAGGTCATGAGAAGCAGCAGGGTCAGGCTACAGGATATGAGCTGCCACATTCTTCTCATGTGTAACTTGAAGAACGATACTTCCTCACACTCCATATGACTTCAGCAAATGAACATAACAGATGTCCGCCTGTTTACACAAACTGGATAGAACATTTCAATCACAGCACTACCTTAATAACAGCATGTTAGAATATTTGCTTAAGAAGTCCATATTCAAAATGATCCAAATAGAAGTTAAATGTTTGTTACATTAAGTCAAAACATCTTTTCTTGTTTTACAAAAACAGCCTATAATTTTCAAAACTTGTGTTTTCAGTATTTAAGATGCTACTTTTGATCCTACTAATATCTGAGTGAATGAGTGAGAATCTTTGTGTTAATTATCTAGAAACTATATGATGATTTGGAGAGCAGAACAAAGGTATTTTTGAGTTAGTGTCAAGTTATACATAGGTGAAGGGCAGCCCTCTACCATAAGTGGCCTGACTGCTTGGCACCTAAGTGCACACGTCTGTGCCTTATGCTGATGAGGAGATACCATTGTATTCACTTAAGCAGCCGAGTGTGACAGGAAACTATGTTAGAGACAGAGTACAATGACATGTTGAAGTCATTGTTCATAAATTTAATGTTAAACACGTGGCAAAACACCCCATGCACACCATACTTTACCCAAACCAAATGAATATGAGCAAGTCAGTGTCACTGACTATACCGAAAAGCAGTCAGATCAGATTTATCAGTACACCCTGCAATGACATCGACTTTTCTTTCGATATTTGATAAATGTGTCATGCAAAAAAAGGAGTGGCAGAGAAGATCAGCTACTGATGACTTAAGTATCTACTGTATCTACTTTATAAAAACCTACATTAGTCAAACTTTACAACAGAAATCCAATGTTTGTGAAAGAACATACAGCCTTTTTCACATTTCACCTTTCTTCGTCTGTTGGTGCAGACTTTGACACTCGTTCTGGGTCTGAAGGGCTCGGTGTTGGTGAGGGCTCTTCACTCAGTCCATTGAGGTTCTCCAGCTAAGCACAGATCAGAGCGAGAGAAGAAAAAAGAAAATACACTTTTTAAAATCAGAGTATGTCTTAAAAGATTAATGTGCATATTCTCCTGCGGCCATGAGAACACAGCAGTCTAAAACTGCACACATGCTCAGAGAACTGACGGGAGATGTTATTCAATTAATTGGATGTCAGGCCTGTCAACACTCATTTAACAAGTGTTAAATTTATGTGAGCAATTAGTGGTTTACTGAGCATTTCAGAGTTTAATGAGACTTGAAGTTGCCTGAGGGAATAAAGGTAAAAACCTACAGAACAAGAGTCGTTAGCACTCGTGAGCAACACATAGGAAGATGGCACAACCAAAAATAATATGAGGTTTCTCACAAACACTGTTAAACATCTGAAACTGCTTATAACATTGTGTTTTAATACATCACATTTGCTGTGCTATTATTTCATGCTGTAAACTGTCGGTATTTAATTTTCCAATGAAGCCTCCTTATTTATGACTGTTAGTTGATTTTTTTTTATGCTTTAAGTTGTAGCACCACATCATAACATGCTACACAAACCTCATCTGGGCTCCTCCTTTTCATTTGCTCAACATCTGTAACTTCATACTTTTCTGACTCCACAGACACAGGGTAGGTTGACATGAATGCGATGGATCCATCACTAGGACTCTCGACATGCTCGTTGTCTTTGCTTTTTTCTGCAGTGGACAATATATGACATGCAACTGAACTTTTCAAATGTAAGATTTAAGAATAGCCATTTTATTTAGCAGTGAATAACACATCCCAAAGCTCTTAGCAACAGAAAGAAGTTTATCTGAGAGGACTAACTTCATGTGTTGTTTCTACACAGATCTTAGAAAACAGCCTGAAAACAAAGTCAAATGAAATGTGTTGCAGAAAGCAACGGGACAGAGCTGTATGAATGATTTTATCAGTAAACAGCAAGCTCAGAGCAATACAAATGAACCTGTAGGAAAACAAACAGGCAAACAGATAAGAAGGGGTTGCTGTTTGCAGCTCGACTCAAGTTTCAAAGAGTGTCCTTTAACACACCATTAGCAGCGGTCTACAAAGCATCAACCTCAAAGTTTTAACAAAAATTAGGCAGACTAATTGTTCCCTGTGGCGGATTATCTCTAGCTTTAAACCTATGATATGCTATAAAAATGGCATGCAGTAATTTAGGTAAACAAATTTTGTGGGAGATGGACTAAACCATGCAAAATCACCTATACTTTTTTTCTGACTTACTTCTTTATCTCTGACATTACATTCATTTACAAAAGTGTTATCTCACCTTTCTTCCCTTGCACTGACATAACCATGTCTTGAACTTTCTTATATCGCAGCAGCGACTGTTTCAGTTCCTCAATCTTACGATCCTAAAACGGAAAAGACATTTAAAACCACAGCGAGGCAAATTATTATTGATTGATTTGACACAGAATGAATCGTGGCTTGTCAAATGTACCTTCTCTTCATTGGCTGCCATCAACGACTCAACTGCCTTTTTCATTCTCTGCACTTCCACATCTAGTGAGGAGAGAAAATGATTACGAACAAGGAACTGTAGCGTTGATGGTGTCAAGTTTGAAAGGGTACAAAGAGGGGATGGATAAGCCTGAACACACAGGGTGTAACTGGAGGATTTAACACAATCAGACCATACAGGCCATTACTGTACATCATCCAGTGACATCACAGACACTTTTTTATAGACCCTAAAATTGATAGATCATATCCTTGTGTGAGCAGGTGTTTCACATACTTAACTTTGGTAGAACATGTTCACGTTTCAGAACAAACACACCGCTACAAGTAAATCCTCAACATTTGCAATCCTGTCTTTTCTTTAAGCCTTTTCCCCACTAGTTTATTATCACTAAATATTGCAAAACAAAGGCAGTTCAATGTGATCTCTAACAAGAAACTGACACACACTGGTCAATGGTTTTGAACTTGAATATTCATTTGACATTTGAGTGTTTGATTAAGGACTCCTACGTGGCCAATTCTAAAGATCTGACTCATAAAATGAGTCATGTTGAGGGAGTCTGTGCGCTGAATGAAAAGTGAAAATGTTCTACACACACTTAGTGAACGATCATTGATGAGGGAAGACACAGACGTGAAGACAGCCCTTCGAACAAAGATGCTGTCACACAACACTGAACATGACATGTTAGCAGGGCACACACTGGTTGTTGGTGTGAGCAGGGGAAGGTTTAGAGGGGAGATATTGACGGGTACAGGAGGTGATTATAGTTGGAGGACATGAGGCAGGAGCATGAGTGAGCAGCCTGAATGGTTATGACAAACAACACAGTACATTCCTCATTCCTCTCGAGAACACAAAGCAGACATTCCTTGTTGCTGTTCCAGGTTGGACTTTAAAAAACACTGATACGCAGCATTTGGATGACCTTGGTTTTGTTCAGTTTTTACAGTCCTTAAAAGTTGACGATAGTTGAACAGACTGGTGATGTGGCGCTCTGTGGTCGAGTATTAGCACTCCAATGTGTTATAATGGACAAGCTGAGTTTGGATGGCTCATGCTCGTTCATGCAAACAGGGGTTGGGAGGGGTGCAGTAATAAAGTGCAACAATGAACACAAGCATAAAAACCCCCCTTACGTTTTTCTTTCAGCCTCTTTCTAAGAGTTTCATCTGGATGAGAGACTAAACAGGACAAAGAATTATGAAACAACTGGTTGGTTGCAGATTTTGACTTCTTGTAGAATTAAGCCTATTGCTTTGCTAATTAAACATAAATATTACCACTCAATCATACAATGTAGACTTGAACATGAGTTTAAACATCATGCGTGCTCATCCTCACTAAGGCATGTGATTCCACCGGCTTTCCCACCTCTCTCTGTGGGATCTGAGCTGCTCGAGGCCATGGCTTTGAAGCCTGTCTCATCCTGTAGCCTCCTCATCTCTCCGTCTGAGCCCTCCAGCTGCCTCCTCAGTATGGCTAGCTCCTCCTGTCCGACAGAGGACAACAGTGAGGATATTCCCTCCACACAGGCACAGCCCTCCCACCCCCAACCAAACTCCACACTACAAACAAACCACAACACAGAGGTTCACATATGCTGACGTGGCGCACAGGCATGCAGGCCACACCTGCTCTGAGGGGTAACGTGTGTGAGGTGGGTGATAAGCACTCATGACTGGAAGGGCTGAGGTAATAGCAAATGCATTATATAAAAAATACACATTTAAGTGACCACTATAAGCATCAAGCATGAAGACAGACCTATTAAACTGTAAGGAGATTTTAATAAAGATAATCAGAAAAAAGAAGATGAGTGTGACAAGTGCAAAGTAGGATGAGAAATGACACAGAGAAACAGAATGCTGCCAACTCTTTAAAAACCCTCAAATTAAAGCATGACTGTGGTTTGAAAAATCTGAACATTTGCTTAAACTGGTGCCCTGTAGATGCTGTAGATTATATTTAAGATTACTTTTTACTGTGCAGCATGGTTCAGTAAATGAAGTGATTTCACTTTCTGCAAAAAGTGACATCACTTTGCCTAAAATGGTAAAACAAACTAAACAAAACCCTGGAATACTGCTGAAAACCCGATTTAATTATTTTTACTCTCAAAAATAAAAACAGAAGAGGAGCCAAAGGGAGAGGTCAGAAACCATAATCATACAGCAAGCAAAACAGCCATCCTGAGAAAAGCAAACCTTCATAGCCTGGAGTTTGTGCTCCTTCCTCTGTTTCTCATACTGCATCTGGCCCATTTTGATTTTCAGGCTAGAAAGCTTAGCCATTAGCGACTAGCAGTAGAGACAAACCGAGGAAGAAAGAGAAAATAGAGATGCAAGAAGTGAAAGATGTAAGCAGCTCAAGTAGGTGGAATACCAAAGATTCAAACTAAGATAGTTTAAGTACAAAGCACACTGAAAAAATGGACAGAGCTGACCAACAGAGTGAAGTTTCAACCCAGTAGAACATGGAACATTCAACATCCTTGTGTTCAAAGAACAACGTATCCTCGCAATCAAATGGGGTCATAACAATAAGAAGCAACTCCATTGAGATCCTTAATAACAGCCAATAAACAATAAAATGAATAAATCATCAGAAGCAGGGCGATAGTAGAAGAATGATCTGGGGAATGGGTTAACAACTTGTTAAGACGTAAATCAGGCAAAGTCTTTTTAAGACTTCTTAAGACTATTTTAATGCTACATAGAATGGTAGAAAAGATTCCCGCGCACTTTATCTATGTAGTGTTTCACTTAATTGTTGAGCATTCAGTCTATTAGGCCTTAATCAGACAATACAGCACATTCTGATGAAGGTCTAATAGACCAAAAGCTCAACAATAAAGCGGAACACTGCATAGATACAAGTGTGCAGAAATCTTTTCTACCAGTTTGGACTTACTGATGTTTCCAGCACCTTGCCAAGACTGCGCTAGGTGGAGCAGTGGTTGTCCTGCATCAGTGCCACTTGGCATGAAATTTACGACCAATTTTACAAATACCAGAATTGCAGGGAAAAAAACAAAAAACAAAACACAACCTAACAACAGCAACAAAAAACAGCAAAATGATGACAAACTTAAATAATAATAAGAAAACAGAGTCTACTGTAAAGGATGGATACAGAACAATCAACAACAAGTAGAAAATCATGTCTGTCAATTAACCAGAGCAGGAACATTGTAAAAACAACCATATCATCTAGGATACACTTTAAATGATCTAAAGACACATATTGTTCTAATTTAAATACCTCTTGTAACTTGTTCTATCTATTTGGTGTGAAATAACTAAAAGCTAATTTACCAAGCTCAGAACTGATCTGAGGAGTTTCAGGGATAAAAATTCCTGTGAGCGTGTGTGATGAGAGATGGATTTGATTTTTAAAAGAGAAGTGAAGCAGAAGGGCAGCTTTCCAAGCAATGCCTTATCAGTGAGAGGACACCATCCCACATTCTGATACAGATCACAGTGGTGAGATCTAAAACCATCTTCAGTAATATTACGGAAATAACTGTGGTAGACTATATCAGGTGATTTTAGTGTGGATTGAGCTGCATGCATACAAAATATCACCAGACTCTAAGATTGACGTTATAGTAGATTGAATAATTGTCCTTCTGTTTTCTAAAGAGAAATATGACCGAAATCTGTACAAAAATCAATTACATTGATAAGTCTGGGAACATTGCGTGGGATGGGTCTCCTACTCATTTGACTTGTACAGTTGCAGCTCTGTCACTGTGTTCAGACACCACAAGACCTCTGCTTTTTGTGTAGGTGTACACCCAAATGTTCAGAGCTCTCTAGCTGCTTATCTTGTTGCTGGTATCAGATATGGGGGTGGGGCTTGGTGGAGATGAGGGCAGGACAGAACTAGTGTTTGGTGCCAGATTTTTTTGAGTATCTTGTGTTTTTCGCACGGCATGTGTTTTGATTTCCATCATGCTGAGTTTGGAAAAACCGTTTGCATGAAATACACAGAGCCTTGTATACTTTACACCTTGTACTGGTTTCAACCATGCCACGATATCTTGGCTAAACAGCAAATTTTTATTGAATTTGCACTTCCCCAGGAAAGTTTAAGATGTAAGTCATGAAAGTTTTTCCATATGAAGTGGTAGTGTGTAAACATCTCTGTGACAACTCACCTTTGTGGATTTAAGTTTCTTTTCATACTGTACTTTTTCACTCTCCAGCTCTGTCAATCTGTACCGCAGTTCATTAATTTCAAGAATCAAATCCTGAAAGAACACAAAGTGCATATCAAAGTGTGGTAGTAAGATAGCATGCAAACTCCTAAAAATACCGGTAATACTGTTAAATGAATTTCATTCTGGCAGCTCTCACATTCTTTAATCTCAGCTAAAAGTTCAATTAAATATAAAGCAACTCTAGCCATCTTTGAAGGCACTGAATTCCTTGGAGAGTAGATGCTTCAAAGAAGCAACAGTGATAAAATGAGGAAGCTGCAGAAAAAGAGGCGATTTATGTGCTGTGAGGCGGAACATGGACAGCAGCTTTTTGTTCCAGTGGGGTGGAAGAGACGGCCGCGCTGCTGCAACAATAACATGACGTGTTTGAAAGCTTTCCAAGTACTCTGCATGGTTCCTCTGGGAGCAGACATCTCCCCATCTCTAGTAAACAAACAGCTGACATCTTAATGTTTGTAAAGCCTTTAACCAGAGGGCACGGAATTCAACTAAGGTAAAACCACTTTGAGCAGTAAGGTTTTTCTAATCACAGCAAACACAGTGGTGATATTTCCCATGGATAGCTCAGTGAATGTTGATGTTTCCTTGAGGGGCTTTTTTTTCTAACTCAAAACACAGCTGCTTCGAGACTGACAATAAAATGAGATGTCCCTCTCCCACACAGGTGTCAGACAACATGAATGAGGGTTTGTTTGGTGTGTGTGGGCAAGTGTTTGTGCACTGAGGTGAAAGAGAGGTGAATTAAATTACATACCTCACTGTCCCTAAATCTGTCATCAAAGTCAAGTCTGTCCTTGTCCATGGTATTCAGCTTCAGCTTTAGGTTGTTCACTTCGGATATCAGCTCAAGCTTCTGCGACTCCAGTGCACTTCTGCACAGAAGCTCCTACGATGACAAATAAGGTCTATTAAAAAAACAAAAACGTTGCGGATGCTATGTGGTCAATAATGGCAGCACAAACAACATGGACAGTATGGGTATTCTTGCTGTTGTAAATATTTAAAACAACAATAGTGATTATTCAAAGGTCTATGTGAAAGGTGGACATGGAATTTGGCCAGCATTATCTCTACAGCTGATAGCAAGCACACGCAGAAACCCCTGCTACACCGAACACCTGGACTGGGCACAGCAGCACATGGGTAAATATGCATTAACCACACAGTAGATGTCTGCTGACAGACCGACAACAGCTCAAATCTTTAAGTTAAAGGTTAAGTGTATAGGATATAGGTGGATATATTGGCAGAAATGGAATATAATACAGTAAGTATGTTTTTTTTTAGTGTATAATAACCTGAAAATATAATTTCATTGTGGTTTTGTTACCACAGAATGAGAGGTTTATATCTATATATAATTAAATATTTTTACCAGTTTAAATCACCGGGTCTGTTTGTTTTGGACAGGTGGAGACCTCTGCTGATAATTCATCTCACCGTAAAAACCTCCTGAACATCTGGATCGGAAATAAGGTCAGTACACATTAAGAAAAAGAGAGAAATTCCATGAGCGAACAGGGTTTGGGCTAGGGACCTGTCTGAGACAAGCTGAACCACATAAAGAACAACTGACTTGTAACATAAAACTGCTTTATTCAGCTTTTTTAGCAGTTTAAATCACCTGGTCTGTTTGTTTTGGCGATTAAGTGATCTCTGTCGAAAATTCAGCTCCCAGTAAAAACCTCCTGAACAATGAACACTGAAGGAATTCTAACCGGGAGAAGTTTCAGTTGGTTGCAGTGTGCAATCTTCACCATAAGATGCCACTAAAGCCTCCTAAATCGTACACACTGTTCCTTTAAAAGTCGATGTCACTTCTTCACATGTGAACCATATGTAGTTTTCATTACTAGTTGGCCCTTGATCTTGTGACCCACTCACACATGCACCCACACACCTGTTGCAGCATCTCCTCAGTGGCGTTGAGTTTCTCCCTGTGCTCGTCCAAACACAAGTCCAGGTCTCGAATCTTCTCTCCCTGAGCCTCCACCTGGTCTGTCAGCACACTCACCTGTGTGGAACCAAGAAGTCACTTTTTTTGGAAAGAGATTTTATTTCTATCTAACATAAAGACGTGAGTTTTTGTGGAACTGGTTAAATGGTTAACTGGTTTATTTAAGAACTGCTGGATTGGTACCTGAAGAACCAGAGATTCCTTATCACTCTCTATTCGGGTTAGCCTTTCCTGGTAGTGGTCACCCCCACTCAGAGAGAGGTGCCCATTGGACTGCAAGGACAGAAGAAGATATCTTTTAAACAAAGAACCATAAGAGAACTGATCTTCGACATACATAGTAAGTACAGACACAGGTAAGTGGTACAGGTAAGTAATTAATTCTGCAAATCTGATCATTCTTTAAGGTTTCAGTGTCTAATAATGATCTCAGATGAAATGCTTCACATCAAAGTAGGGCTGTAATCATCTGGTCAGTTGGTCAATTGTTTGGTCGTTATGCTGTTGTCTGACCAAACTCTCGTTGGTCCAATAATTGCTGGTGTTACTTTAAAAAGGCTGTGTGCTTACCAAAGTATTTCTTTTGTCTTTATCACTATGGATTTATTTTACTAAGTCTCCAAAAAGACAGTTCAAGGCTGGATTACAAAGCTTCTGAAAAGACTACCGTCACACCAGAGGTCTTGCTAGAGCGGCAGGATGGCTAACGTTAGGTTCTGGGCTAAAAATAGCAAGTCTCTCTCTCGCATGCAACATTACAGAGATATTTAACTTTAATAACATCATGTTGTATATGACAGCGTCAACCCCAGAGTTAACTTCTGTAGTGTCCAGTATGTCCGATTCATCAGTCCTGTTCAACACTTAGTGGTGAGACAGACTTGGCGCACACAGCTTAGGTGGGGAAGTGTGAGCCTACAATGTGCAGTTTATTTCAAATAATATTAAAGTGGACATCACATTTATTTTTCACTGGCGGCATTCCACTTGCCTGAACAGAAAGTTTACCTGCTCTGAGCAAGTGTTAATGTCCAACCCTGAGACAGGAAAAAAAAATGATTATGATGATTAATCAATCAATTGGTTGAAGAGTAGGTACAGTTTCAGTCAAACAAGATTTTCTTTGGTTGATTATAGCCCTACATCAAAGTGTGACTGGCTGCACTGCATTACCCTGCACAAACAAAACCTTACATGGCTGAGAAGAAGGCTCACATTCAGACTGCTGTGCACAGAGTGACTTACAGCATTACACAAAAACTCTGGCATTTATCTGGCCTACAGCCCATCGCTCTCCCAAACACCACTCTGGTTCCCAAGAAGTCAGCGTGTTTCTTGCAGCACTCTGGCTGTGACATTGACAATACCAGCATTTTGTCTTGCATTCCCAGGGAACTCAGCAGATGGGGACAGTCATGTTTTTGCTTAGCAAACAAGTCCGTCGTCTACTTTCACACAGGACTGTTTGCCCATGCTTTGTTTAATGCAGCACACACAGACGGAGCACAATCAGAAGCAAACCAGATGTGCTGAAGCTTGTTTGCAGCACTTTCTGTCCAACAATCACAGACAAAACATCCTCCATGGTTACACAGCTTAAACTGATTCAGACATTGCAAGTGTTCCTTCTTTCAGTTCTACATTTTATTATTTTACATCAAGATGATCCAGTTATGCAACATTACCAGAGAAACTGATCTGACCTGAGGCTACACTATTCTGATGAAGAGAGGGAAAAAAGTCAACGTGACTATATTTTATGATATTCAGTTCTGAAAACTGAAAAACTAGTTCTTGCTCTCAACTGATGATGATTATCTTTTATTTTACATAGTCTCATGCAGCATTTATGCATCTGTCCTACATGTAAATCTTACCAGGTGACCATGAAGCCACTCGACCAGACTGTCAGCTGTGGAGTCAGGGATCTGGCAGCGTAGACTCTCCCTTTCCTCTGTGTCCATCATCTCCAGGACACTCCTCAGGTCTTCCAAAAGGTTAAGCGCCCGCAGGCTGCCCATGAAAGGAGAGGTGGGTGACTGGCAGTCATACAGCCCATTGGAGTAGTCCAGAGCCTTGGAGCCTGAGGTGGAGAGAGACAAACATTAGGAGAAGCTAGAATTCAAAGAAAGACAAAGATGTACCATGTCATACTTCAAAGTAATTATTTTACTCTCTTAAACTACTGCTCATCAAAGTACAGAGGAAAGGACAAGGTATTTTGTTCAGGTTCTCACAGTGATTAAAGCACACATCTAGCTGTAAAGTAGGGAATCTCTGTATGTATGTATGTGTGTGTGTGTGTTTATGTACACGAGTCCTTCATATTTCTTGCGAACCATTCATCCAATCTACCTCACACTGTTATTTCAATTAGTGAGAATAGCAACATAATTCAGTTTTTTCCATACCTAAACATCAAGCTGGCCCGTGTTTTGAACAGGCACTGCACTAGTAGTAACAATTCACTGTGCCAGACAAGGGACAAGACTTTAACCACTTATAAATGGCAGTCTGCCATCATAGGCTGAACTAAAGTGAATAATTCCAATCATATTATTTGGAGACAGCCATTATTGGCACTAGTCTGACATCTGATCCTCTGAGGCCGCATCCAGTGTTTCTTAAATCCTTTGCAACACTACAGTTAGGGATGAAACGTTTTCCACGATAAACCACAATGAAATCACGTAATACCTTTTCAAATCTGAATTATCATGACAACTGTGTTTGATTACTGCACTTTGAAAACTCACAGTAAATACTGTCCAGCATCAACCACAGTTAGCAACGGTCTGCCAGACACAGGCACAGCATGCAATGTGTCTTGCATCAATGAAAACATGGCAGAAGACAGTGACAGCACTCTGGCGATTTTTCATTCTTATGGTTTACAGAGTAGGCCTGCAGCAGGCAACCCCAGTGATGCTACTGGTTCCTTTTCCTCATCTACAGTGACACAGATACTCAAGCAAAGGTAGTGTACGGAAGGATTGCATGACTTTAAAACAGTTCAGTAATTTTTTCATAATAAGGATTTTTTTGTTTCTCTGGCAAAAAGGGGGAATAAATAACAACAAAAACAAGATAAGCAACAACAACAAAAAAACGTTGGTACTGAAATCTACGAAATTGTAACTTTAAGCATCGGTGGCCAAGAATTTCACCACTGAAAATAATGTCACATGGTCCACTGGTACACAACACAAGGTGAACATGTTTACACGCCACACAGTCTAAATGAGCACAGAATAAATACTAAACCCTCTCTGACAAACATGGAGCTCCAGACACCATGTGATGTCCATTCAAAATGTCAGCTCTGCAACAAGCCACAACACTAAATAAACTCTTATCAATGTTGACACAACCTGACAGAGATGTATATCAGAGACTTTGTTGCTTTATGCTTTGACACAACTGTAAATAAATAATCACAACATGACTGTTCAAACAATCTGAATCATGATAAAATGTTATGCTGATGCTTAATGCTATAGGGGAGAACTTGCTATACCTGCTATAATGCCGTCCATCTGCTCCAGGGCAGCTGCCAACATGTCGCTGGCATCAGCCATCATCTTCACTCACTGATGAACCTGTAAAGATCAATGAAATGTAAAAACTAGCTTCTTAACCGTATTTTAGTCAGTCTGAAGAATACCAAAAAGCACCATGATTATTGTAACTATTAACCCAACAGTGTGACTGATAATCACAGTTTAGTCTGTGGAATAAGACATCATGTGGCAGCTGCTCTGTGCGCTTGAAACGTAGATATCAACAGTGCAGGAAATGGACAAATCCAGCAAAACAGTTACAGCAGTGGTCAGCTTTCTAGGCAAAAGAAGTGCAGTAAGTCTGAGTTAAGCATGTGATTACAAAAGGTTCCCACCCAGGAATTAGGCTGTAACTGCAGTACATCCTTAACAACCCTCAATGCCTAAAAAAGGACAGTGCCTGGTGAAATAGCTTGTTTGTGAGACGGGTTTGACTGTACAGACACAGATAAGCTGAGCACTGTGTATGAACAGCACCCCATCTAAATAGCTACATGATAACCGGGAGTTTGCGGCAGTTCAAAGAAGATCAAACTGAAACTAAAAGAACTGTAAGAAAATGATATTTGCTCCGCTGAGTTGTTCCACCTTCTTGAGCTCTATGCTGCAGACATCTTATGTTAATTTCATCAGAGCAAGTGATGAATAATGCATTTCAGAATATCAATCAGGCCATTTACTGAAAATATTGGCACAATGAATGTCCTGCCAATAGGACACTGGACACTCTGTCTGGAGCGGAGATACATTTTAGTGTCCCAGTATTGGACATCTTCCCAAGCAGCACAACAGACCCTTTATCTTTGGACGTTTAATCAAAAGGCTCTGCTGTATATTCACGCATGCTTAAACATGCATACACAGGCACTCATCTGCACACGCACGCAAACACACACGTCTCACTTTAATCAGCTGCCTCACATCCTGGGAGTGCCCGACACTGGGACATAGCACCATTTACAAACTTTATGGAAACCACCCACAGACCTAACACTGTTATTTCAGCATTCCTGTGGGCACATTTTCCATTATGTGTGAAATAAGCATGCACTAAAACAATAGATTCGTCACAACACACAGTAGGCTAAGAGGAGATGTGAGGGACCAGCATGCCATCAGTGTGCTCCATAGTAAACTGCTGAGTGGTTTCCAGCAGTTAAAGTCTGAATGCTCCTCTCAGGTTGCCTAAAGTAACTGCTCGTCTCACTTCTTGTACAACATGACATTTTAAAAAGGCAGGATTAATTATTTTCACAAGACAAGAGTTTACAATGTCCTGCTAACATTTAAATAGATTTTATACTAGGGTAGGGAACAATGTGTTCAAAGATGACATTTCATGAGGTGTGTTTTCAGAGGGAACCTAAAAATATCACTGAAAAATTAGCACTGTTGTAAGACCTTGAATCAGCAGTAACACGCTAGTGGTATTTTATCAGACATGCAACATTAGCCAAAATACAGAAGGAGAACAAGAATGCAAAATAGTCTTTTGTTAAAAGAAAAAGGAGTATAGTTGGAGGAGACTTGCCCTAAATCCATGTGAAGGCTTTACTTGCTCTCAAGATTGGCATTACTTATTTCAACTACAACCTACAGCAGATTCAAGGAGGACCTTCATTACTGTGATGTCTCTGAAAGTGTATCAGTGCTGTGAAAAGGAGCTAAACCAGCTCCCTAGACTTCAACAAATGCCCAGCAGAAAGCCAGTCTTTAACAGCAGGTAACAAAGACAGAGTCTGGATCACGATGACTCAAACTGGAATGAAGGTCTGCGGGGCATCCCCCTCAAAAACCCTGAGTCAGCTCCTCTCTCACTGCAGAAAGGCAAATATGGGTAAGGTTAACACATGGCTTTCAGTAAATAGACTTCAAACACACCAGGCCAAGACCAGACATGCTGCTCAGAAACCTGCTGCCCACATGTCAATCAGTGCAAGTGTAAAGACCGTGTCTGAGCACTTCCATGGCTTCACCCTGGATTCAGTGGACATGAGAGTCCGGAAAGATCTCAGCACAAAGAAAGCATAATGACAGAGAGGTGCACTCTGTCCTCAAGTCCTGGGATGCCTCCATGGTACAATAGTCATTTGTAAACACAAGAGGGTTGTCTAGCAAGCAGACAGGGTGAGTAAACAAAGGTTGTGGATCCGAGTATTTCTGGGCTGCAGCACGTTTATTTGTCTTGATTAATCATTCAATTTACAAAAATGTCACAAAATAGTGAAAATGCCTATAAAGATTTCCAAGGGTCCAGAGGAGCAACTTGTCATTGCTTGTTGCTGTCCAACCAACAGTCTAAAACCCAAAATACTGAGTTAACGATTAAATATGACAAAGAACATTAACATATCCTCACATCGGAGCAGCTAGCATCAATGAATGTTTGGCATTTTTGCTTTAAAGTTGGTTAATCGATTATTCAGATAGTTGTAGATTCATTTTCTGTCAATCCAATAATAGTTTAAGCTCTAGATTGTTTTAATTTTTGTTGAATTAATAAACCATCATGGAGAATATATGGAGAAGATCAAATATCACAACATGTTCGACCAAATACCTTGATATTAATCTTGTGACAATATTGTAGGGTTGACTTTTGTGCGTTCACAAAATATTTACACATTTAGATTTTGATCAATCATCAGTATTGTGGATATAATGACTAAGTGGGTAGAGGCAAATAATAGAACAGCTAGTACTGTAATGAAGCCTTTAAAACCAGGAAAAGACAACGCTCACAATATTACCGTACAATATCCAAAATCTAAAACAATATCTAGTCTCATGTCACAGTATCTATATAATATTGATATTACCCAGTCCTAATATGTACCTGCACTGGCCCTCATCTTATCTTATCTGTAAAAGCTCGCTATCAAAGGAGACATCTCAAAAATCCCAACAAGCATGCATCACTCTCAAAAACAAAGTCCCACTGTTTGCCCGTCTATAAGCACCACTTGCATCAACCATAAGACACACAGAGAGGGCTATTGTTCATGATAGTGGGGTATTTTGACTGAGAAGCAGGAGAACACAAAGACAGAAAAAAAACCAATGCTACGCTACAGTACACATGGCATTTGCAGCAACACCTGCCTGCAGACTCTCTTCAGACTGAAAGAGCCTCGAACCACAACAAGAAACTGCATTCAAAAAGCAATCTTGCCCTTTGGTGAAAACAGCCATATAATTCACGGAGACATGCAGAGAATAATGAACACAAGAGGGAGAGTGGACTACTATAATGGCCTTTCAAATCCTTCAGCTCTGATCCCTTCAGGCGGGGACGACCATCATAACCCATCCTGACTGGACATGCTACAGAGAGCTGAAGTATTCCCGTTTCAAAAGGCGGAAAAAAAAAAGATCTTGTAATTCCTCAGTCCCGATGGACCAGTCAACTACTCTCTTATACACACAGGAAGCAAAAATCAAAATAAGAGCCTCTGGGCCACTTGTCTCTGAGGGGAGAAAGTGTTTACAGCAGCCATGCAACTGGCTTTAACAGCCTGTGTTGAGACAAGTTGTCCCGGGTGGTAAAAAAAGCCTGCGGAAACAGGAATTTACAATCCTGGCATAAATTACACAGCCATTTGCTTTACTTGTTCTTTTTTTATTCAGGTAACATTTAAAAAAAAAAAAGAAAAAGATATGTGTCGATTTCTGTGGACACGAGGGGATAGATCCAAGTCTCACCACATAATGACACTTTCCATGTCTTGAGTCATGCAGACCTTGACTCATTCTTTACCTTCAGACAGTGTTTCCATGAAAAAACACTAATTCAGGTTTGCATACCTCATCCTGTTTTACCTCAAACCACGAATGCTCTGTCTATTCTGAAAGGCTCAGAAAATGCTTAAGGGCAAGCTTTTCTTTAGACATTATCTAGTGTGTTTGGGGACTAACTATATACGGTGTGCCACACACAAAATGCTTACAATAGTTCTATAATGAGCAAATTGTCTGCTGTGATTCGATCTTGTGACAGGGCTAATGTTATTGTCTACAAGTTTAAGGGTGCATGAAAGTAAGCAGGCTGTGTGCCCGCTGATTCACTGGGTGTAGACACAGTCAAGGCATTCACCAGCCGCCGGCAGGGCGCTGCTCTGGAATAACCTGAAGCTATTTCCAACCTGAGTGAGCAGGCAGAATACATCATCACTAATTTTATACCACCAAACAACGAGGGCTGTATGAAAACGAGAGGTGGGTGCAAAGTCGAGGGAAGCCTTTACTGTTTTTAGACCATCTGGAACTTAAAATAAGAAACCGAAAAGGCATCTGTGGAATGGGTGATGCAGTTTAAACACACAGAACAAAAGATGGAAGTTTAAGAAGTAGAGAGCTTCCATGTGATAACATCTTGAAGAATTTTTCCTGCCCGTACGTATGCAACAGATCATAGCTGCATTTCATTTATGTTGGAAAGCAGCACGCATTCTTTTCATATTACTCATGGCTGCACTGCTTGTGCCTTAAGGTGACTTGGAAGTTATCCGTCTTTGACATTTATGCAAAAAGCAATGCAACACTGAACAGTAGACACGTGGTGCAGAGGGTCAGGCTATGTAAATAAAAACAGCTGAAGGTTGTTTTGCTATGTACTGTACTAGACTACCCAGCACCACTCTACAACTAAAGTTGATTCTTGCAGTTTTATGGGCCAACTTTCTACATTTTTAAGCATTCTTCCTAAAAAAATTCCTTGCATTTTTTGCTGCAGTAAAGACTAGTAGAAGGTGAAATGAAGGGCCCTGGGGGTTTCCTTGTAATCTGAACAATAATTAACATTTTGAAGGAAACCCCCAGATTTAAATCACCAAGTCTCAACTCAAATACCACACGTTTGCAGCATGGCTTCAAAAAGTCTTACTGCAGAGGCAGGAGTGACAGAAATGAACTGATGGGTACAGCCTACATTTAGTGAATGCTAAGGCAGTCTTAACTTTGGGAGCATCCTGTATCTGGGTTTCTGACTGGTTTTTTTAAACATTTGAGAAATGAGGCCAAACTGTTTTAAAGAGGTCGTCTGGAGGGCAATACAACAGCTGATCAACTTTCATAGCTTAAAAGAAAAACAGACAGTAAACTCTGGACAACCTTGCTCAGTTTACTAAGTACATCTACTTCAGGGTGTCTACAGGTATCAGACTGTTAAATTTAATGCTTTTAAGAGCTGTTCAAGACACTTTTAACCAAATGTCGGACAGATTTTTTGACAAATCATGTTTTACTTATGTAACCATAGCAGGTAAGCATTGCAGGCAAGTAGTATATGTGGTCTTGTGCAGAGGTAAATGTTATGTAGAAATATTGTTATCAGAGTTAAGTCAATCTACATTTTACCAACAGGTATGTGCAAGTATCAAGTAAATTACAGCATTATAATTTTTTTTAAGATTGGCAACACTAGAAATGTGGACTTTAAATACAGAGGCTTCACTCACTTTCACAAAAAGGAATTTAAAAATGGATAAATGAAATTAGATCAAAGTATGTAGTAGTTAAGACCTCACAAATTCAAACTTAAGACTATTTAATGACTTTTAAGGCCTTATTGCTGTAACACTGAATGAATATAAGACATTTTAAGACTTTTTAGGGACCTGTAGTTAACTCCATCTTGTTAGGTACCAAATTTCATGGCACCTCGAGGCAACATTGAACCCAGTGATGTCTATGAAAAAAGATGTGGCCTCAGGCACTGGGAGTAGCTAACCACAATGTCTGGCAGAGTCTAAAGCAGTGGCAAAGTCATAAACCAACCTTAGACTGACTTTCTCACGTCAGAAACCTTTAACCCCCCAGTAAATAGTCCTGTCCCATGAACCCCCTTCGTTGTGAGGGCTAATATTTTGGTGTACAACATAAACGTTGACCAGATGAAACTTGACACGTAACAGTAGTAACTAAAGTGAAGATAACAATGTTATCGATAGGAAAACACTGAAATGTTACATGTCAGTGTTTTCCTATCGTACTAATTGTGCATAACGTTAAATAAAAGTGAAATTTAACATTAGTTTAACTAGCTAGTTAACTTGTGGGGGTGCCTGAACCCCCCCTAAAGGTACCCCAGAGGCCCCGGGACCCTTTTAAAAACACAACCCACGAAGGACAAACTACAATAGTAGCCGTTAACGTTACAACGGTAACAAAACGTGTACATACATCTGCTCTAGTTTGTCTCGACTACACGTTAGCAACCCATTAACCTAAGTTAGTGGACATCATAAATCACAGCTTAAACACCACCGGACTCACTTACCGAAACTCTGCTCGAAAAGAATTCGGGATTTCCGTTAGTTTGTTTCCTCTATTGTTTACAAAAACTCCACAGCGGTCGGTTTCTGAACTTCTCCGTACCCACCAGTGTTACCCCCGACCGTCCACATCGCTACGCCATGATGTCGAAGTGACAGGGTTGTTGGAAAACTTGGGACGTCATGGCTGGAAAATCCCGCCCCGCTGCTGCCGGGGCTGGTCTGAGAGCAGGAGCGTTTTATATGATGGCAGTCCTGGCGCGTTCACTGAAGCGTGGGAAAGATGGGAGATACGAGTTTTGTACTACATAAAACCGCTCACTGTTGACGCCAGCAGTGGACAGGACTGAGATATTACTTTAAAAGTGATGAATCGTTATTTATCTGTTTATCTGTGTTGAAACTGACCAGCAACAACCACAACTGACAGCCCCTTGACGGCCCCAAAGCTCAACGCGTTGAGTTCAAAAACGCCGGAAACTTTCCATGCTTTTGTTGAACCATGAAAGCAGCATATTCCTCAAAGTGCCTGTGTATCAGCTTTAAAGAAGCACAGGCGACATCTAGTGGTTTATGGGTGTCAGTGGTGGAAGAAGTAGGTACTGTATCCTGCAAAAAAACAATACTAGTGTGCCAAAATAGTCCAGTACAAATAAAAGTTATGAATTCAATTTTTTATTTAAGGTACAGAAGGATTAACATGCAACATGATGCAGGTAAGTATGTAAAAGTACTCAATATGTTTAAGTTTATTCACTTTATTAATCCACCTGAGGGGAAATTCAATGTTTTCACTCTTGCTTGTCAATTACACACAGGTCTGAAAGACACACACATGCACAAACAGGACCTATACATGCACAAAGTAGGAGAGATCTCAGAGTGAGGGGGCTGCCCTTTGGTCAGGCGCCCCGAGCAGTTGGCGGGTTCGGTGCCTTGCTCAAGGGCACCTCGGCAGTGCCCAGGAGGTGAACTCCTGCCTCCAGCCACCAGTCCACGCTCCATATTTTGGTCCGGACGGGGACTCGAACAGGCGACCCTCCGGTTCCCAACCCAAGTCCCTATGGACTGAGCTACTGCCACAGGCCCTTTGCAAATTGTTATGTTACATAGTGAAATGAGGAGCTTCCTGAGACCTTGCGTCCTCATATGAGGACATCACATTTTGGGTTTACTTGACCTTAGACCTGTTGTCCTCATTCACACTTTTTTTGTCCCATCTAGTGGTAGTAAGAGCACAATACATTAATCCATGTAAATACAAGACGGCAGCCATCTCCGCCAAGTCAGTCCACAGCCAATCCCGATACAAAACTTGTTTATTTAAGATTAATAAGGTTTGTAGTTTGATATGGCAACAAATTTGACCAATTTTAGCAACAGTAATGTGCTAAGACACTGTTAATTAGGAAGTACTCATTTGAAGACATCAGGACTTAATTATTGTTGACATTGTTGGGTTTTTTATACTTTTTGGGTCCTATTGATCACAAATAGCTGGGAGAAATTAAAAAAGTATACTAAACAAAAGTTAGGGTCTCAGGAGGATAATAATACATTATTGTAACAGATGCATTGACATGTAAGTATTATCTTAATTTTGTAGCCAATGAAGGCAGATTGAAATCCTGATTAAACACTGACAACGAGAGCAGATTTGTGCCACATAGTAAATAATAGTTTAAATTAACACTACCAGACCAGAGCAGGGTGTGAGTCTGTGTCAGAGGAAATAACACAGTATTTGCAGTGATGTGTACAAGCTGGTTAGCAAGGTCAACATGCCTCAGAGGAATGTAAGGGAGGGAGATGTCAGAAATGAGGAGCTTCACAACAACAGTTATAGCTTTCTGATGAATAAAGTGGAGTTACAAGTACATTTTTTCATCTAAAATGAAGTGGAGTTACAGTATTAAGTGGCATACAATCAAAAAACTACAGACTTGCATTGAATACCAAGTGTATGCAGGACAGATGTTACAAGGCCCTGGGCAGCCAAGGGAAACTGAGAGCCATAGTAAATATTACAATATGTTTACTTTACACTGATTTAGGGTCCGTTGCCTGGTGCAAGTTAATGTGGCCACAAAGGCAGAATGAATATTTAATGATATAATATGAGAAGGCTCATTTCTTTGTCTCATTATAGGCATGATTTATTCTAAGGCATATTCTAGAAGGCAGCACTGGATGTTTTTCATACTGTAAAAACAATATCTACATTTCCTAGCACTCTCCAGCGTCTCCCTCTGAGTTATTCAACAGACTGTGATATAATTTGTCACAATGAATGGAAGCTGTTCCTGGAAATGTTGGTCCAAACGTCAACTGGTTAATTCCTCTTCTCCCAGTGAATAGAATACCCCACTTTGGGTCAACCATGGGTCCCCAAAGCGGTGTCCCTCCTCAGGGGCCTCTCCACCTTCACAGTGCTCGGGTCACATTCCAGCATCTCCCTGATCCAATCATCATCCAGCGCTCCCTCTATGAACTCCTCCAGACTGATGATGGCTACAGACATAACAAGGGGAGACAGTGATTATTACAGACAAAGAGCAGAAGACAGACTCAATCAATATCATCTGCTTCTGTTCCCTCTTAAATCTTTGCCTGCACGTGCCGATATCAGTGAGCAAGAGCTTACTGGTTTTAATGTTAGGTTACTGCTGCCAATGCAACTGCCTTATAGTCATATAACTATATCATTCATGTACAAAGAATTTAAGTTGTCTTCAATGTAAAATGTAAGTTTTATGTGGAGACTTATGTGCACCCTTCTGGTCTTTTTTTAGTGGGAGATAGCAGGTCAGTGGTATACGCCCCTTAGAAGTGGTTTACATCATCTGAAAGCTAGGAACCTGAAGATTAATTTGAGGTGCATCACCACAATGTGTCAAGTTTTTCTCATCATAAATATGTAATCAATGCTGTGTTTTGGTTAGGTACCTATTCAAACATTTAAAGTTTAGATTATTTAGGGGGTAAGAACATAATGATAGAAGTATATGAAGGCCATTTCCATGCTAAATTATGTCTCATAAATTATTGCAGCAATTTTGGGGTTAATCACATTTGTTTCACATATTTTGTGCTAAATTTTACCACATTTTAGCATTTCAAAATTGATAAAAAATGGTCAAAAGGCCTTTCGAAATACCACAGTAAGACACCAAGATCTTTGGACCAAACACAAAAAAATCCATACTGTGTTTTAGTATCAAAAACTTTTGATATGTCGAGATTTATGGAAGAATGGCATTTTAATGGCAAGTGGATGGCAAGCACTTCAGTTCTGCTGAGAAACCCCCTTTTTGTAAATATCACTATGAACGCCATCTGAATGCCTGAGGTCTCTGATATTTTTTTAAATTTATTTAATTTATATACTTTATTAATCCCCCTGAGGGGAAATTCAATTTTTTCACTCTTTAGTCATTAACACACAGGTCAAAGAGACAGACACATGCACAAACAGGACCTGTCAGAATGGGGGGGGCCGCCTTGGTCAGTGGTGGGGGTTTCAGTGCCTTGCTCAAGGAGGTGAACTGGCACCTCTCCAGCCACCAGTCCACGCTCCATATTTGGTCCGGATGGGGACTTGGACAGGCGACCTTCCGGTTCCCAACCCAAGTCCCTATGGACTGAGCTACTGTGGCTGTAAAGTTTCACGAGGCTGTGCTTATCCAAGAGGTCACAATGGTCATTTTATACAAAGACGTCTGTTTGAAAAAATGGTCTCACTACAGTAAAACTGGCTACTATGGGAGTTAACATTATCACACATGAATAAAATTGGGCTCACTGAATCCACAAGAGTCTCAGCTTTCCAGTCAGACCCAATTTGTGCAATTTGAAAACTGTGTAGGGATGTGAATATGCAAAAATATTCAAACACAATAGGGGAAAATAACATATTTGCACTGGATGAGAAAAATGGCATGGTTTTGTCTCCAAACTGTATGGAACTAGCATAAAGTGAGCAGGTCTGTAAAGGCGAGACATGTCGGTACCCATAAAACCCATTTTCATTCATATATCTTGAGGTGAGAGATCATGGGACCCCTGTCAAAATGGCCATGCTAGCTTTTCCCTCGCCATAATCTAGCCGGAGTGTTATTTTGCCTCCTTCCTGACAAGCTAGTATGATATTTATACTTAGGTACTCGTTTCATATGGTACTAAAAGACAGTAATGTCAGCTGAGCTCTGTGGTGGCCCCGTGGGTCTCTTGCTTCATCTCTAAAATGATGCATGTCATATGAGGCACATGACTACTTCTCAGTATCTTGCGCAATATTTTTCACAACATCACGGTCATGACCAGTGTAGTGCAATATCATTTTCTCAGTCATGTGCAATACTACTTCTCATTGTTATATCATATTCAATATAACACTGATTATCAGGCTCAGTCTGTTTTTCCGCCATTTTAGTTCATGTTCAGTAACTCTTGTACTTCTCGCACTCCTATTGTTACTCTATTATGCACTGGTTTTTGCTTTTGCTCCTTGAAAACACTTTTATCTTTTGATACTTTGTTGTAATAAAACTAGGCCCAGTGAGTGACCCTGACCCGCATCACAAAACTGACATAAATGCTTTCAGATTAAAATAACTTTTAAAAGCCAATTTAACCTCTTTAGTCAGAGTTTCCATGTTTTCAGAATGGTGCCACACACACTGTGGAACCAAGTCTTGAGTCTTGTAAACCATATAACAGACTGAATGGGTTATTTTATTGGTATATTTACCTTCTACAGAAGCACTGCTATCAACTCTATGAGGTCAGTTTGTTGAGGAGAAAAAGACACACTGAGTGAAGGTGAGTGTAACATCTTAATAGAGTTGCTTCCATGCTGAAGTTACACTACAACACGACTTTAGTCAGAAAGGGAAAATCATTTCCTCACCGTTATTGTCTTTATCTAATCGCATGAATATCCTGTTGGTACATTCTTCAGCTGTGAGTGGGTTGGGTTGGGTTAAAGCAGCTGCGACACTCATCTTATACACAGCCTGTGAACAAAAGGAAACACACACCAGCTGAAGTGAAAGACCCAGTTATCTGTGGTCACATCTCATGATAAGTAAGAGACAGAGTTTGTGTATGACACAGAGACGCACACACAAACCTGCATAATCTCCAGCATTTCCTCCCTTGTGATGGCTCCGTCTCTGTCTTTGTCATAGAGCTTAAACGACCACCGCAGCTTCTCCACAGCTGAACCTTCAATGAGCATGCTGATGGCCATGACATACTCCCTGAAATCAACCACTCCATCCTAAAGAGGAGCACCCTCGTTAACATCTTTGTTTGTTATTCACTTGTCTTGGTTGTATGGTGCATTATCATGATTAAATGGCATTAATTATTGTCCTTTTAGTGCTCTTTGAGACGTTTTCCCTCCAGACTCGTGAGCTGTACAGCATAAAGTCATTCAGAGTTGTTTCCTTACCCCATTACTGTCCAATGTGCGAAATATCTGCTCTGCATACTCAGCTGACTCGCTGCCCACTGTCCCATCACAGAAATGCCTCTGAAACTCGTGAAGAGTGATCAACCCACTGGGACATTCATTGATAAACTTTCTATCACAAAAGGACAAAACATTTTTTAAATAAAGAGAGAGGAAGTTGTTGATACACAATATAAAGGCACTTAGAGTAAAGTGAGTCAGGTCTGTAGCAGCAGAAACGTGCCTTTTAAATTAAGAATTAAGAGAATTAAGGTCAACCTATCCCCTCTCTGTGGAGATTACACGTCTTTGAAAGCTTGTTTACACCCTGGGACAGGAGTGCTAAGATAATTAGGTCAAATGATTTTGAACCACTTTGCTACAACATGGCAAAGTGAAGCTCGTCAGCCGTGTGCTGTCATGGAAAGAAAGTAGGGCTATAGACACTACTCCTGTACAAGTGAGCAGAGGTCATTGTTCTGCAAGTCACAAGTAAGTCTCAAGTCTTTGCAGTCTAGTCCTAAACAAGTCATAATACACTCTTCAGCAAATGTTATGCTGTTTCAACCACAGATTTAATATATTAAATTTACAAAAATCATTAATGCTTTTTATAATTCTGAAATGTTGCAAGTTGTTGTGTCTCCATCTGTAATTTTCGACCTGAACATTTTGCATACAACAATTGGTTTTTATTGACCAACGTGTAGTGTTTGTTTGTGAATGAAATAATCTTCGGTATCATATTTTCCAACTGGTGCTCAGTAACGTTAGTTCTTCATGGCTCTCTTCTGCAGATTGACTGGATGTTGTTGGATTGGTCTAAACAAAGAGGATCTTGGAATTTAGGTATTGACTAGCGGGCAATAAATAGCGTTAATGTTAGTTGATGCAGGACAAAGAGGGAGATAAATTGATCCTTTTTAAACAATATACTTTTTAATATTTCAGTTTGGGGGAAGGTGTCAAGGCTCAAGTCCGCTTAGCCAGTCTCTGCACATTGCCTCTAAACCAGTCTTCCTGTAACCTTGCTATTTGTCTATCTAGCCTGTTTGTGTGTTTGTTGCTGCCTTTGTGTGGTTGTAGGAGGTGATGAAAGTTGGGGTTGAATGTAATGCCCACTTTTTTTATTTCAATTTATAATTTTTTCTTATTTTTAACTACTCATTTTATTTGTCATATCATGTCTGAGCTGCTTTGTTCTGTGTTATATGTTAAAAAATGTAATAAATATATTCTTTATAAAAAAAAAAGCCTTAAGTCTAAGTGAAGTCATGAGTCCTTGGGGTTGAAGTCCAAGTTGAGTTGCAAGTCTTTTTCGACTTTGTCGAGTCTCAAGTCATTACATTTGTAGCTTAAAACCAAATCATGTGACTCGAGTCAACACCTCTGCTACTGAGTACAGACATAACGTGAGAAAATAAAGGAACAAAAGGCCAAGAAATGCTTTGTTGATTTGTCTACAAAGCAAAATAACGATCCACTTAGTTGTACACTTGTTGAATGTTGCTTCAAAAATCTGCAATTTCAGCTACACATTTTTAAGCTTCCTCTACCTGAATACACACAGGGTGTGGAGTTAAAAAACTCTGTAGAAATTTCAAGCCAAATGAAACTCTTACCTGAACCACTCGTACAGCTCAGTAACATAAGACTCCCCTCTCCTACATGGCAGGGTAGCAGCTTGGCCCATTCTGTAAAGGAGCAACAGCTCCGGATTCACGGATTCACCAATCACCACTGACTTTATATACACAACAAATCCCAGCTTATGCCATGCTTTCTAAATTGCACCAACCAGTGCCTTATCACACTCGACAAATTACACAAAGCTAATCTCCTGGGAGGGGGGGGGGGGGGACAAAGAGGAAGGTTGTAAAAGTGGGTTCAGCAGAGGGCAAATGTAATTACTCATACAGCAGGCTGCTGCGTCTCAACCTGCCGCACTGAAGACAGAATACTGGTGCAACATTTTGAATTCAGTGTTCGCTTACTGTCTTTCTCTTCAATCCAAATACAGACATCTGAAAACAAGCCCCAAAGTTCCTGTTGAGGGTTTAATAAACTATTTATTAACAACCTGGGAAGACAGCCCAGACATGTTGATAGTAGCAGCAATAGACAAAAATGATAAGTGCTTCCACCGGGAACTAAAAATCAAACAAGAATGAAAATATAAAGTGGCAGGAAGTGGTACAATGGAGGCAGTAACAAGCTCCCAACAGCCCAATATAACCCCAAAAGTTAATGTCATTCCTCCTGTGCAGCAACACTTGGCTGAGTCACCAGTCTGTCTTAACTTCTCAAACTCTGATGCAACAACTTTAAAAAAAACTACAGAAAAACTATTTTAAAAAAGCAACATGCAACTGGACACAAAGCAGGGCATCAAATCAAAACTTTATGTTCCTATTTTACAAAAATCTACTGTTTTATTTCAAATGGAAACAGATGCAAGGACCGTTCGCCTTCAAATGAGCCAAAGTGGGAGCATGTTTTAGCTTACTGGGGAAATTACAGCTACTACACTGATGACTGAACAAGAATGGCGACAAAAACAACATAAAATGGACTAGTTGCCTTTCAGAAAGTGGTGTCTATGGCACCACTCCATAGCTCCGCTTGTTTGGTTAGGTAGTAAGTTTTGAAGGAACGACAAAGCCAGCATGTACAACTCCTGTTTTATCTGTCAACAAGCTTCATTCATGATGTGCACAATATGGGTCAAGTTAATCCAATGATACATTTTAGCCCTCCTTTCAGTCTGCGGAGGATGCCAGGTGGGAGAGGCGGTCTCCATGAGCAACACAGGTTTTACTGAGTGTCCGAGCAGACATGTCCAAAGGCACTTCGGACACGGGCAGGAGGGTCCTTGTGATTCAGCTGCTCCATCCACTGGCTCCTTGTAATTCAAGCATTAGAGAGAAAAGACAGTATTTGATTCACAACAACCCTTTTCAAGAGAAGAATCCTTAACAGTCCTCATGAGATGACTATAAACTGTGGCCCGAGACACCAGTATGAACGAGGGCAGGTCATAAGAGCTACACAGCTCCATGTATTGTAGATTTGGGCAGCAATGCAACCACTTATGTTTGACTCACTGGTTCAGGTTCTAATGACAGAGGTTGAGATAAAGATACACAGTCTAACAGAAAATTGAAGAACATATACTGATGTTGCTCTTTTCATTGCTCTCCCTGTGAGACAACAATCAAAATTATTCAGGTAAGAGAAATGTGATGTGATAAATGTAACGTACTGTAAAAAAGGGTATCAAAAAAGCCCAAAATTAATGTGCAATTTATAACAGTATTACTGGATTTTAGGTTTTGATTTTCTTTTCATAACAGGGGAAGTGTACTAAAGTGCTGACACTTTTTAGACAAGCAAATACAACAGCTATCTTAAACTATTTGGCATCAGCATGGCTTCTACTTCCATTTTTTAGAAGGAAATACTCTACTGTATATCAATAGGTCATGCTGTGTCACCTTGAATTCATGAAGAAAACTTTGTTTTTCTCGCATGCCTCCACAAAAAACAGTGAACACACTGATTTATTGATTGATTGGCGACCACAATAACAACGACAAAACTATATCAAAACATTGGTTTACAAAATCTCACACAACTCATGCAGTACAATCCAAGTCTTATTTATCCAGTTGTTTGCTCAGTACTTCACGAACACATGCATTTCTGTGAAATAACCTTAGTATTAGAGTTTGGATTTGAAGTAAGTGTAGAGTTTCACTTTCCGTTCAGTTTTATATTGCAACATTTTTAGCAAATATGCATGTGTTTGGGAAGTACTGAGCATACGACTTGATAAATAAATCTTGGATTATGCTGCACAAGTGTTGTGACAGTTGTAGTTGACAGATGATACAGTTTTGCTATTGTTAAACACAGTCTCCAATCAATTAATAAGTCAATATGTTTGCCGTTTTCCATGGAGGCATGCATGAAGTTTTCTCCATGAATTTAAAGTAACACAGCATGACTAATTGCGGAGAAATGGTCATTTTGAGGGTGAAGTATTTCTCTAAATATCACTTTGACAATAATTTGACAGACTTGGGCATTTCTACCTTATATCAACACACAGGCCGTATGGCTTCGTCATGACTCCCAGCAGTGGATCACTAACATACGAATCATCACATGGCTGTAGTTGTAAGATGTGCAATTGTAAACATGGGCCAAACAAAACTCTACATGAGGTAAGACAAAATGGATCCATATAAGTCAGCAACTCATTCAAGTTCTCACCAAATGCGATTTTTCTAGTCAGCAGCACAGTCTTATACCTTCATGCATGATATGGGAGTGAAACTTACACGGAGGGAGAAAGGAATATACCTTCAAATTGAGAATGTATGGAATGATCGCTCTGCTTAGTGTAATCCCTTAATAAATGTATGCATGAAGACAGTGTGCCTCTGACAAGCACATTAAACATGTCTTCTGAAAGACCGTCAGTGCACGATAATTCATGAGAAAAAAAAACAAACAGCTAAAGCTATGGTTTGCCTGCAAGATTATTAAGCTGACAACATGTGTAAGAACACAGACTCACAGGTGCACAGGTACAGACTCTGTATTAATGAACAGTATATAGGGAAGTATGTAAAACTTTAAACTAGAGGGTAAAAATACTGCAACAGTTACTAAGAACTGTCATCTCTGTTTTAACGGGGTGGCTCTGTTTCCATCATTCCCTGAGTTATAACCTCTACCATCAGACTCAGAGATCAACCTCCAGAATGTAATAATAAAATGTTACAGAAGTGAAATGGGTTTGCTGCTCAAGCATTGCTTCTACACTTTCATTCCAGCATGTCTAAAGTGGCGTTTTATTTAGTAGTACTGCAGTGCTCATAAATCCATAGCAGCTCGTGAATGGCCAACCGTCAGAACTGGCTGCTCTCCCAACACTTTTATGAACGTGGATCATTTCTGCTGAGAAATGTTAAAGGAGCAGTGTGTCAGATTTAGAGGAATTTAGTGACATCTAGTGGTGAGAATTGTAGATTGCAACCAGCTGAAACTTCTGGTTAGAATTCCTTCAGCGTCCATTGTTCAGGAGGTTTTTACCATGAGTGGAATTATTTCGCAGCGGTTTCTTCATCTCTTAAATAAATGGACCAGGGGTCTCATTATTAAACCCTGTGTACGCACAAAACAAGGCCTGAAAGAGGCGTACTCAACTTCCCACGCAAAAGTTGTGATCTATAAAAACAGACTCGATGGGAGACACTTATCGAACAATTCTGAAACGGGAAGTTGGTGACGCAGATGGTGAGGTGGAAGCCAGATTTTAGAAATTGTTGGCTTTTGTCCGTATGTACATTTTTAGTATGAATCCTATGCAATGTTTTATAATGAGACTCCAGGTGATTTAAACAGGTATAAACACGGAATAGCGCAATTTCACCATACAAATCAATGTTTCTCCTATGATGTTCAGCACATCGCAGAAGTGCTGCTAGCCCAGCACGTTCAGGAGGTTGCTACCATGAGCCGAATTATCACAGATATCTCCATAACAAACAGACCAGGTGATTTAAACTGTTAAAAAGACGTAATAAAGCAGTTTCACATTAAAAAATTCAGTGTTTTTCCAATGCTCTTGTCACAGATTGGCTGCTAGCTACAGTGGCTAAGGACAAAATGCGAAGCCCTGGAATAGATCTGTAGCCAGTGTTTGGTTTGTCCATTCTGGGCCACTGTAGAAACATGGTGGTGCAACATGGAGGACTCCATGGATGAGTACCTACTCCCAATGTAGATATAAATGGTTCAGACTAAGGTAACAAAACATGTTTCTTATTTTCAGGTTATTATACGTTAAAGAAAACATACTTATTATATTATATTCCATTTCTGCCAATACATCCCCCTAAATCGTACACACTGGACATTTCAAAGTTTAGAGCAAGGGCAAATTAAATCCAGGGCAGCCGACTTTGGGATCTAAATGACTGTAGAAGTGTACATACTAAAAAAATGAAAATATTCTTCCTACACAACCTATCCCTTTAAGACAGATATGGCTTGAAGACATGGTGTATGCAATCATACCAAATCCACACATATACAGAATGTTAAAGTCAGAGTACAGGAGGGGAGGTTGCTGGGCTGTTCCCATGGAAAATGTTCAGATACTGACAAGAGAAAATCTCTGAGCGGCACACCACGAGGTGACTCTCAAAGTTAGAGGTTTTGGAAGTGTGGTCTGCCGTGGTACGCCGGCTACCTACGACTTGGATCCTGAGGGGGTCACAGAGATGGGCCAGGTTGTCATGGTGTCTTCCTTGTATTTTAATTAAACATACAGTACCTAATCAAATTACAACCTTTAAAAAAAAAACATGAAATCGGTTCAGTGCAAATTTTTTCTTTTTTTGCATCGTCACTCCCAACCTTTGTTCAAATGTAGGTGGAGGAGAGAATCCCGAGCCATCACGATCATATATCATGTCACTGACATTTGTGTTCATGGGTTCTTCGACTTTGTGAGGCCTCTGCAGGTAAACAGAGGATGACAGTAGATTTGAGGAAAGCGTTGAGAACAGCGTTTCAGGGCAGGCAGACCGCTGTAAGGCTTTAGAGGCACATCCTCCTTCTGAAGAGGGAAAGCAGATGTCCCTTATTGTCATCGATCCAGCTCCCTGTTAGAGCAGCCACACGAAGACTACACAGCTTATGTGGAAAAAACAGTAACTAATAAATAAAAAGTCCTTTGACAAAAAGGAATGCTGTTTCTTAGAGTGAGCATTCAAGCAGTTCTCATCACAAAAATGATGGTCCGAGTGTTTTTTAGTGTGCTACAGCACCACACTATAAGAGCAGGTTTTATAAAGACCAGTGCATCTCTTCAAAGTCCACAGCCTCGCCCAAGTTTGTGTCTGTCTCCAGGAGGCTCATGATCACTGCCATGGCTGCTTCGTCATTGCTAAGACTACTAAGGCCCGGTCCAACCACGCTGTCCAGATCCAGCTGGGAATTCTCCCCTAAGGAGAGATGGGGTAAAAGAAAAAAAAGATTAGGTATTGGATTTATGAAGGGAGGATTAAATATGGTCCTATATACTAGAGTTGGGTTGGTTTCTGGTTTTGCTGGTCCGGTTCAGTGTATGAGCTTCAACTGGTTTGATTTTATGCAAACTGGCTGAACCAACATTTGTCGTTATGGCACGTTTTGTCAAATTAAAAAGTAGCCTATGTCAGCAAGCTCTGCTGTCAGCATCATGGTGCTAAATCCAACTCGTATTGCATTAGTAATAAACAATATGAGAACGTGATAAATATAATTTTATGTTTATAAATAGACCAACAGAGCCCCTAGTGGCCATTTGCAATTTACTGCCAAGTGGAGCACCGGCAACATGAAGGAGATCAAATTCAGTAGAGGTGGGAGGGGGGACAAGCTGTGCATACTGTTTTTGTTCGCCAGAATGTTACGCAGTTTTTTTGATGATGAGGAGACATGACAGAGTGAGTCTCTCAGAAAAACTAAAACTGCCCCAATATGACAACATTTCAGATTCGAAGCCAAAGAAAGAGGTGTCCTAACTAGCTGTGACAACACGTCACACAGTTTTCAGCCCTGTTTCTATTTATCCCTTTCACTCGCATAGGAGGAGCCGCCGTGGACGACAAATGGATAATATATTAAACTCAACTGAGAAATTATCTACACAGTACCTCCTTATTTCACTACAAAACCCAAAATACGATGGCAGCTGGCTAAAGGGAGATCGTCAGGGAGCTGAAGTTTTGCTAATAACAAGCTACACTACTTGCTGTCAGGTATATTGTATGTCACTTCCTGTAAATATCACAATATAAAATGTGTTTTCTATTTAAAAAGTACAAACGTAGAGAGAGAGCAAGTGGGCCACTCACCCATCCTTTCAGTGGTTATGTCTCAAGTTTGATCTCGAGCACATGGCTTATATTTATATGGTTTACATGACATATTAAAAGTGCGTATTTAATAGATTTAGTGTGGGCAGAGAGCTCAGATGTTGTGCCATGCAACATGAAAATCAGATGGTCATTTTCTGTTCAGACACGGTATCATTATGTTCAGCTCGGGAGCAGCTGCTAAGTGTCTGACAGTGCGACACCTGGTAAAATTCTGAATACAGGTTCACTCCACTGTTTGGCTTAATATCAAACCAATTTGAAATACGACATAAAATTCCTACAAAAGCTTTTAACAGGATCAGACAGAGTACCCATGAGTGTGTCTCCTCCTGAGAATGCAGCTCCTTGGGGCTCATCCTCTGAGCTGGACTTTGCTGGGATCTCCATGTCTGTTGCCTCTCCGTTTGGCACCTAGAGACCAAAAGAGAAGCAAATTACAGCTCTAACAGTCAGTTAGACATGAGGGGGAAAAAAAGAGGAGAGTCAAATCTGTGCGGTCTAAATTATGCCTTTCAACCTGCCAGAGGAAATTCACCATAATTTCCCAGGACATACAGCATTATGGTTATTCTACTTCTAAGAAAATCTTCTTCTTTCCATTACTTTCCATTACTGGGAGATGCTTCAACAAAGGAGGCGGCAAAATATGAAAAGCCAGGCTGAGCTTCTTTGTTCAAACTGCCAGTTTGAAACATCAAACTAACCAGAATTACAAATATAGATGTTGCTGCAGAAAGAATTACGATGTCACAGACCTTTTACCTTTTTGATACAAATGCCATCACTTTGACCTTTTAGACATTTGGGTGAAATGTTATCGTTATTAGTGTATGAATTCTTGAGTTATGGCCAAAAACATGTTTTGAGAGGTCATAGTGACCTTTGACCACTAAGATCTAATCAGTTCAGGAAAAAATTACCTCAAGGCATTCTTGAAAAACCGTGCTCATGAGAATGGGACGTAGGACAACCTCAAATCATAATGGCCCTCATTTGTCAATCTAACATACAAACCAGCACAGACCTGAGCGCATAAATCATTTTGCAATAGGGTTCATGTGTGATTCAAGAAACGTTTTTATCTCGCTGATCACAGCAAAGGAATGAGCAGGTGTTAATAAATGTGGCAGCTGAAAAAAAAAAAAATCATCATTTACATATCACGCTCCAATATATTCTCGGTTTAGAAGCCTCTTCCTGAGAGTTTATGACATGGAGAGGTGTAATACAGCCAAGAAGAGAAACTTCTCTGAGCTAGAAATGGAAACACTGACGTCCCAGGTCCATTTTAACCAACTGGTTCTATTTGGCAGCCTGAAAAGTGGCATTAAAGGGAGTCAGAAAACGCAGTAAGTAAAGGAAGAAAACAGTGCTGCAGTCAACAGCGTTGCAGTGGACAACCAAACTCCAGCTGAGGTTGGAATATTTCATTTTTACATCCATGTTATGTAGCCTACTGAACTACAGCCTACATACATTAATAATATTAGCCCATATATTATATGGTATTGATATTGTTATAATACTCATATAAAAGCTTATAACTGACACAGAACGAGGAGAGCGTGGCTACACGTATCAGGTCTCCTTCTATTTCAGGAATTAACAGGTGGTGGAAGAGACACAGACGCACCACCTGTGTCCCAGTCAGACAATGGTAAAAATTTAATGACCTAGGCTACTAGTACTTAAATAATTATACTGTTGCAGGGTATTTTCATTTCTTTTTAATGCTGTTTTATTGATAAATGAACTAAACATGCTTTGGATGTGTCAGTGTTTAATACAACAATTTATTCATATATAAATATATACAGTACAGGCCAAAAGTTTGGACACACCTTCTCATTCAATGCGTTTTCTTTATTTTCATGACTATTTACATTGTAGATTCTCACTGAAGGCATCAAAACTATGAATGAACACATGTGGAGTTATGTACTTAACAAAAAAAGGTGAAATAACTGAAAACATGTTTTATATTCTAGTTTCTTCAAAATAGCCACCCTTTGCTCTGATTACTGCTTTGCACACTCTTGGCATTCTCTCCATGAGCTTCAAGAGGTAGTCACCTGAAATGGTTTCCACTTCACAGGTGTGCCTTATCAGGGTTAATTAGTGGAATTTCTTGCTTTATCAATGGGGTTGGGACCATCAGTTGTGTTGTGCAGAAGTCAGGTTAATACACAGCCGACAGCCCTATTGGACAACTGTTAAAATTCATATTATGGCAAGAACCAATCAGCTAACTAAAGAAAAACGAGTGGCCATCATTACTTTAAGAAATGAAGGTCAGTCAGTCCGGAAAATTGCAAAAACTTTAAATGTGTCCCCAAGTGGAGTCGCAAAAACCATCAAGCGCTACAACGAAACTGGCACACATGAGGACCGACCCAGGAAAGGAAGACCAAGAGTCACCTCTGCTTCTGAGGATAAGTTCATCCGAGTCACCAGCCTCAGAAATCGCAAGTTAACAGCAGCTCAGATCAGAGACCAGATGAATGCCACACAGAGTTCTAGCAGCAGACCCATCTCTAGAACAACTGTTAAGAGGAGACTGCGCCAATCAGGCCTTCATGGTCAAATAGCTGCTAGGAAACCACTGCTAAGGAGAGGCAACAAGCAGAAGAGATTTGTTTGGGCCAAGAAACACAAGGAATGGACATTAGACCAGTGGAAATCTGTGCTTTGGTCTGATGAGTCCAAATTTGAGATCTTTGGTTCCAACCGCCGTGTCTTTGTGAGACGCAGAAAAGGTGAACGGATGGATTCCACATGCCTGGTTCCCACTGTGAAGCATGGAGGAGGAGGTGTGATGGTGTGGGGGTGTTTTGCTGGTGACACTGTTGGGGATTTATTCAAAATTGAAGGCACACTGAACCAGCATGGCTACCACAGCATCCTGCAGCGACATGCCATCCCATCCGGTTTGCGTTTAGTTGGACGATCATTTATTTTTCAACAGGACAATGACCCCAAACACACCTCCAGGCTGTGTAAGGGCTATTTGACCAAGAAGGAGAGTGATGGAGTGCTGCGGCAGATGACCTGGCCTCCACAGTCACCGGACCTGAACCCAATCGAGATGGTTTGGGGTGAGCTGGACCGCAGAGTGAAGGCAAAGGGGCCAACAAGTGCTAAACACCTCTGGGAACTCCTTCAAGACTGTTGGAAAACCATTTCAGGTGACTACCTCTTGAAGCTCATGGAGAGAATGCCAAGAGTGTGCAAAGCAGTAATCAGAGCAAAGGGTGGCTATTTTGAAGAAACTAGAATATAAAACATGTTTTCAGTTATTTCACCTTTTTTTGTTAAGTACATAACTCCACATGTGTTCATTCATAGTTTTGATGCCTTCAGTGAGAATCTATAATGTAAATAGTCATGAAAATAAAGAAAACGCATTGACTGAGAAGGTGTGTCCAAACTTTTGGCCTGTACTGTATATTTTTTAAAGCTGGGCAGAAGCAGCGATCAGCCTTCGATCAGCCTGGAGCCAGTCCCACAGAGCCAAGCAACTGTGAGCAGTGATAGAGAGCCCGCGTCCACATGGCAGCTAAACCTTTTTAAGTGATTAATATGTGGCTGCAAATACTTAGACACCAGTCAGAGCATGGTCTCATTACAATTCTCCAACTTAGCCAGATTTATTATGCTGCACTGCAAAACCATGCTGACTCAAAACTGGGTACACGAGCTGAGACCTGATGTGATTGATCGTAGAATTCTCTCATGTCCATATTGATTAATGCCAAGCTTTGCTGGGAAATCACTGTACACCCAGTTTTCTGTCCTACGTTCGTTATGTTGATGAGGGCCAATGCCTCCGGCCTCAGCTGTCGCCGGTGCGGAGGCATAAAAAACAACCACAGACTGCAGTCCCAATCATTAGCTTGGTGCATGAACAGTTGTAAACATCAATGAAGATGGTAAAGTTTTCATGACTGCATTTCATATCAAATGTTTGGCGTCTAATGCAAATTACTCATTTCTATTGCAAACCTAAATATCATTTTACTGCTAAAACTTACACCCTATTCAGGTAGTGTCAGGTATTGACTGCATGTGCCCAAACACTGGGACAAAAAATAATGTTCACATTATGTTGAAAACATATTTGGTGTTATTTAAATTTACAGTAGCAGGTTGTTTGACTGACATGAAGATGTGAGGATTCCCACCAAGTAGCACTGCAAAAACATTTACTGTAATGTAGGCCTATGTCCCAATGGACACTACACACGTGTAAACATACATGATTTATTAAACTATGGACAGTTTTTTCATTAAATACACTCAGCCATTTTAGACTGGACTAGTCTGAAAGGACTCATGCAGTTTGGTGAATGGGAACACAATTTCGGGGGGCTGGGGGCTTCCCCACCCCAGGAATAACTGAGGCAGATGCACCAGTGATGAAACATACACATGCACATTGACTTACATTGTTGCTGAGTTGATTGTGAGTTTGTGGACACTTATCCTGGGGTCCACTGAACGGGCTGACGCTGCCACTGGAGGGTGACGAGTTCATCCTGAAACAACACATACACAAATCAACTTAACTCTTACAACAACTGATGAGCACAGCAATTGCAATTACAAAAATATAAATAAATAAATAAATAAGTTAAACAGTAAAAAGGACTTGCTGTGCTGTGAGGCCACACCTGTTGAAATCCAGCAGCTCATTGGCGATCTGGGTCCCTATGCTTCCAGCATAAATCATAGCTCCAGGTGAAGTGGAGATACCTGGTATGACTGGAAGGGACTTCTTGCCATCTTCTAACAGAAAAACGAGAGAAAGGAAAAGACAACATGTGCTTGACAGTGTGCTGAGGCTACACAATCTGTATTTTCAAGCATCACAAGGCATCCGAGACGTCTTCATTTAACTAACCTTCAGAAGTCTTGGAATTTCTTGACTGTTCAGACTTGTTTCCCGACCGGCTGGTTCGACTGTTATCATACCTTGTCGTGGGGAGAGTGAAAAAAGGTGAAGTTCTTGTTAATATACTGCGCATCTATCTCAAAGATATCTTGGTAATACACAAAGGAACTGAAGCATATACTCACGATATAACTGTGTTAGTTGACACTATGTATTCTACTTCTTTGGTCCAGGGATTTACAAAACTAAACCACTGACTTTGCAGAGTGACGAAAGAGCCGTATTTTGTCTTGAACTTATAGCAGTTTGTCTCTATTTTGTCTTTACTCCGCAGCACTGTGGAAGAACAAAAGAGAGAGGACAAGTTAGAGGACTAAAGAGTGGAAAATGAAGCATGATCTGCTTAAAGCCACGAGCACTCTGGTGATTTATTTATGCATCAATGTGTGGTGGAAATGTCTTTATTTAATAAGGAATAATAAGTAGTAATATTAGAATAATAAACTCATAATTTAATAATAACAAAGTCATAGTATTTCCTATAGTCTGCTGTGCATTATGTTCTTCAAATCATTGGACAGACAGAACCCCATGAGGGACTCTGGTATCCGAATGAGGCTGAGTTCAAGAGGCTATGTGCTGCTCTTTGTCAGAGCAGAGGTGAAAATCTGAGACAAACTGAAAACAAGTCAGTCAGACATAAATCTCACCATTGTGTGACACAAATATTAACTTTACCATCTCCGATAAAGTGCAGCTCACAGCCGCTGTCCTCAGCTTTTCAGTGGGCAGCACACAAAGACAGCTACCCGTCAAGAGATTGCACATCTTGTTGACAAGGTGAGATGTAGCTACAGCCTCTCACATATTGACAAGAAACGGTGAGGCCAATCTAATTAGCGATACTGGGTTAGGGAGGCAGGACTCATAGTATAGAATGAGATCTGTGGACTGTTTATATACTAAATACATTGACCAGACACAGACAGACAACAGTGTCACTGGATATTTGTAGGGACATGTCCCCATCACCCTACCCCATTCTACGCCTTTAAGCACAGGACCAGTGGATGTAAAATATGGGCAACCCAGTGATTTACCTGTGCTTTAGCACTGCAGCTCTACTGTAAGCAAAAATTGGATCTAAATAGGCCTACATGATTAATGAAGGATCCAAGACAATTAGGAGAACCAGTGTGAGGTCACCGAAAAACTCTATTTACCTTTTCGATGTCTGTCTGCTAAATGTGGTAAGTCGTCTTGATGGAAGTACTCATAGCATGACGTACCCAGCAATTCTTGGGGAAGATAACCAAGAATGGTTGTTGCTCTGTGGGAGGAAAGGAAGAAGCAAAGTGTTAAAAGAGCTCACAAATGTATCATGTTAGTGCAAATTACTTTTAAATGACTACTGTATTATTTAGAATACTGTATATGTCTTTTGTGTTGATCAATAGAAACTCCAACGCCCTACCACCCCCTTAGTCAAATCCAGTTCTACCTTTGATCGACAAAGGTGAATTTTCCATCCATGGCATAGCGTGTGATGAACTCTGTGGGTTTAACTCGGACCTCTCCATTTATCTGGGGAGATGAGTGGGAGTGGACGCGTCCTACCGCCACCAGGCAGCTGAAGTGAGAGCTATCCTGCTTGTCTGCCTCGCCCTCCCCATCTGCTCCCAGCTGACTGGTAGGCCAGCTGCGCATGTAGCCTGTACAGTGGACGGTGCAGTACTTCTGCGACTCTAAGCAGATGCAGAGAACAAATTATGACATTTTTTTTAATCTTTATTTAACCAGAAAATTAAGATAAGCAAAGTTACATGTCTGGTACACATTTATTACATACAGACAACTCTCTACTTGCACAATGCAGTGTGACGTACAGTACAGGCCAAAAGTTTGGACACACCTTCTTCTCGATGAGCTTCAAGAGGTAGTCACCTGAAATGGTTTTCCAACAGTCTTGAAGGAGTTCCCAGAGGTGTTTAGCACTTGTTGGCCCCTTTGCCTTCACTCTGCGGTCCAGCTCACCCCAAACCATCTCGATTGGGTTCAGGTCCGGTGACTGTGGAGGCCAGGTCATCTGCCGCAGCCCTCCATCACTCTCCTTCTTGGTCAAATAGCCCTTACACAGCCTGGAGGTGTGTTTGGGGTCATTGTCCTGTTGAAAAATAAATGATCGTCCAACTAAACGCAAACCGGATGGGATGGCATGTCGCTGCAGGATGTTGTGGTAGCCATGCTGGTTCAGTGTGCCTTCAATTTTGAATAAATCCCCAACAGTGTCACCAGCAAAACACCCCCACACCATCACACCTCCTCCTCCATGCTTCACAGTGGGAACCAGGCATGTGGAATCCATCCGTTCACCTTTTCTGCGTCTCACAAAGACACGGCGGTTGGAACCAAAGATCTCAAATTTGGACTCATCAGACCAAAGCACAGATTTCCACTGGTCTAATGTCCATTCCTTGTGTTTCTTGGCCCAAACAAATCTCTTCTGCTTGTTGCCTCTCCTTAGCAGTGGTTTCCTAGCAGCTATTTGACCATGAAGGCCTGACTGGCGCAGTCTCCTCTTAACAGTTGTTCTAGAGATGGGTCTGCTGCTAGAACTCTGTGTGGCATTCATCTGGTCTCTGATCTGAGCTGCTGTTAACTTGCCATTTCTGAGGCTGGTGACTCGGATGAACTTATCCTCAGAAGCAGAGGTGACTCTTGGTCTTCCTTTCCTGGGTCGGTCCTCATGTGTGCCAGTTTCGTTGTAGCGCTTGATGGTTTTTGCGACTCCACTTGGGGACACATTTAAAGTTTTTGCAATTTTCCGGACTGACTGACCTTCATTTCTTAAAGTAATGATGGCCACTCGTTTTTCTTTAGTTAGCTGATTGGTTCTTGCCATAATATGAATTTTAACAGTTGTCCAATAGGGCTGTCGGCTGTGTATTAACCTGACTTCTGCACAACACAACTGATGGTCCCAACCCCATTGATAAAGCAAGAAATTCCACTAATTAACCCTGATAAGGCACACCTGTGAAGTGGAAACCATTTCAGGTGACTACCTCTTGAAGCTCATCGAGAGAATGCCAAGAGTGTGCAAAGCAAAGGGTGGCTATTTTGAGGAAACTAGAATATAAAACATGTTTTCAGTTATTTCACCTTTTTTTGTTAAGTACGTAACTCCACATGTGTTCATTCATAGTTTTGATGCCTTCAGTGAGAATCTACAATGTAAATAGTCATGAAAATAAAGAAAACGCATTGAATGAGAAGGTGTGTCCAAACTTTTGGCCTGTACTGTATGTCCAATTTATGAACTTCACGTCTGCTTACTTCCTGTCAGCTCTACAATTATATTACCTTTACCTCCAACCTTAGTGATAAAAGTGTTTTTTTCACCCTCAAGTTGGTTAACGTTACTTCACTTTTCACAGATAACACTGTTGGTAGTATTTACCATTTGTATTTGTATATGGTGTTTTTGATCATTTGAATAGCAAGGTGGGCCAGTCAGCTAGCCTAGCTGGCCACTGAAATCATTTTAATATTTTTGGCAGCTCTTCCAAGCACTAAGGGTAAACTGGAGGCACCTCCTCACATGTGCCTCTACAAACCAGTCAAGTTGCACTTGCGGTTTATATCCATGTCTTTGAAAACATAAATGTTTCAAGCCATAACAACATTAGCATGCATTGTAACAAGATCAGTTTGTCATATGGACTTGAGTTAACTTTTGTTTAAAACGGGACAGAAAGATGAGGGAGTCGAGATTGCATATAGCATGCAGGTCATTCCAAGACCAAGGACCAGATTAAAATAGATTCCTATTTCCAGTCTCAGTTCGCATAGGTGGCAGCCATAAGTGTGTTGTTTAACGTACACAATATATACACACACATAAAACAAAAAAGAACATAAATACATTCATTCACACCAGAGGGTTTTATAGTCTGACACTGTGGGCCCAACTTCAGACAAAATCAGGACCAATGGGACATTCTGAGCTTGTCATGTATGTTATGTCTTTGTCTTACTTCTATATGGGGGATAATCATACTCCAGATGTTGAAACCACAATTCCCATAATTCTTTACGAGATGTAACCAGGAAGTATAATGTTGCCATGGATTCGGGGAGTTACTTCGTGCAGTGAGCGACAACTTGTTCCCCATTTTTTGGCCCATACTTGTTTACATTTTGGCAAATTAAAAGCTGCATTAGCTAATAGCAGTTCCTTTTTGTAGTGCACCCACTGATGTACAGACAACTATCACTGATTTACTTTGATACCGATGAAAAGTTAATAATGGGAAGATTCCTGCGCAAGTGCTGGAGTCATAAGGAGCATATTTTTTCTATGATTTCGAAGTGGATTAATGGACGTTAATGCAAATCTTGTTAAGTTGTGATCTGCAAAGGACTCCCTAAACTCTGCCTCACAGTTTGAAAACCTCTGCTTTACACTAACACTTCATGTGAATGGAAGTGTGAATATTATATTAGCATTTATACATGAAACCAAATAAATTTAAAGCCTGAATGTACAAAATCAATCTGTTGAATAATCCACTGGATAATTTCCCCACCTTTCTTTTTGGAGGTGCCTGCTTGGAATTCCTTCTCCTCCACCTTGACAGAGATTTTGTTGTACTTCATGCGGCAGAAGAATGAGCGGCGTGCGCCTGAACACAGCCGTGATGCACCGACTGGGAGGTCAGCCTGGACCTGCAGACCGGCTGGAGACATGAAGGGAGCGTTAAATATGCTCTCTCTTTCTCACACACTCACTCACACAGCAAGACACAAATAATTGCTTTACTTTTAGCATCTATTAGTCGTTCACGAGGGTATAATTCAGAAGCTGACAGCTGCTCCTTCACTTTTCCCATGTCCTTTGGGTGTATGTAATCAAACAGGCTCTGTCCAATCAGCTCCGCCTGTAGGGAGAACAGACAGCTCGTCAAACTGACCTAAACGCAATTCCCGCTCTGATAAAAAGAAATGTCAAAACCATTCTGCATCTATGGCAAATCCTGCAGACAAATAATAAATTGACAAAGTAAATGGACTGTGGACCCCTGGAGCACACCAGACACTGTGTGGAGCAAAGATGGAGCACATTTAGATTTAAGTAAGACCGAAGCAGAAAAAACGACAGCTCATTCCTCAGAGGTTTCTGAAAGGACCGTATATAAATGTCCTTTACCATTAACTTAACTTCGCTCCAACACCCACAAGCATTTTGCATTGAAATTGATTTTTGACAACACCTAAAAGATTTATCAGGATTCAACTGAGCCATTACAGCACTAGAATTTGATCATGATCTGCAACAGTACCTGAAAAAGTATAATACATTTCATTTTTTGGATTAATATATTCAACACAAATTAAAGACACACTAATGTGCTTTTTTCAAATGTCACAATGCAAATAATAACATCAATTTTGTATTTCTAAAGCATACTGTTCTTCTGTGAAATCTGTGCACACAATGCCAAATACGGTGCTACAGGCCAACACACACGTGCTAGTGGGTTCTAGTCCATTACCACTGGTGCCAAGACAAAGACAACCCATCTGGTGCGTCCGGGGGTTTCACATTAACAAATATGCTGCAGACAGAGTGACAAATGTAAAAGCATTACCCGACTATAATTTAATATCTTCGTGACGGACTCCGAGACAAAAACTATTTTCCCACGATCACAGCCCACTACAAACAGGAACCCATCTGCAGCCTGCACAACAGAGAAACGTGGGGGGGGGGGATAGGGGGATCCAACATGATGACATGGTCAAGACAAAAGGATGACATTAAATACATTTTTTCTATTAACATTAATGTAGTTTTTTAAACTAAACAGAAGCATTGGTGCATCAGTTACAGTCTACATAGTAATTTAAACTGAAAATTCAATGCATGTATTAGAAAAGATCTCTCTCTCTCTCTCGATAGTTACAGATGAACAGAAACCAAAGTATAGCAGAGGCATTATCACTAGCATCAGATTTTAGCCTGATGGTGGCTTTTGAATAAAGTGTTTAAGACATCCTCAAATTATTGACAGGTGATAGTTACCTGAAGTTTGTAATGAGTAAAAAATGTACTGGTGTTTCAGTTGCCTTTAACACCTGTGTCCTTACCTTGAGGACAAGGTGTTTGAGCTCCTCGTTGGGAAGGAACGACGGTTTGTAGTTGACTTCAGAAAAAGAACTTGATGAACCTTAAAACACAGACAAAAATGCTTCACAGTCAGCCCAATAGGAGATTATTATATAACACTCTGACATTAGTTTTGTAATTCACTTTTTATAGCTTTTTAAAAAGGATGCTACATCAAAAAAGAAAAAAAATAACTAGAAAAGTGCACTTAATAAAGCCACAATGTGTCGCGAAGAACATAGTATTCTTGCCGACAGGAATAGTATGTGAAATATAAATATATTAAAGTTAGACAAATTAATTTAATGTATTATTACTGACTAAAAACAGCAACAAATATTTGATCCATGTTGTTCATACGGGACTTTTAACAGTACTAACTTTGTCTGTAGGCTACGCACAACAAAGTAGGACATAACAACAATAATCACAACTAAAGAGGACAAAAAAGAAAAACAATTTAACTACACAGCTTGCTTTTTTACTGACTGGGAGAAGCACAAATGTTAAGGATTATATATAATGTGGTACCTTTGAGAGATTTGAGGTGCTGCACGGCCATTCTGAGCACAGTGAGTTTGTCCAGTTTACGGGACATGGGGTTGCAAGTAGGGATCATGGCTGATAGTTTGTCGATGAGATTATTCATTTTGTCCCGTCTCCTCTTCTCAATTTGGCTGTGTGGTTCCCTGCAAAGACGTTAAAGAAGAAATGATTCAGATGACTCACCGGGGTTTCCTCATTTCACTTTACAAATCATCTGCATCATTGAATGTAGCACAGTCTAAATTTTAGAGGACTTAAACAATGGAGATTTTAAGATAACATTACACAATTATCTAATATAACCTACCTGAAGCATTTAATTTTGACATGTTGGTCATCTCCATCTGACCTAAAGAGGAGAAAAACACACACTTGAGACTGACAGATAGATGGAGTGACAATATACAACACGGATCAACAATACATATGTATGCATGTATGTCAAACAATAAGCAAATACACAACAGCACAAAATAAACAGGTCAGCTCTGAAGTCCTTAATTAGTGCACAGTACCCATCGTCTTCCATATCAACGTCAGGGATGGAACCAGATTTTGTGTCCCTAGGAAGAAAATGCATGACTATCAATAGCAACTCACAACAATTTAGGTCATTGGATTTTATAGGTTTTCTGTGAGCCACTTTAAAGCAATCAACTACTTACTGGTTGTCCACGCTGCCCTTGCGTTTCCGGGGCATCTCCAAGCTCAATGACATGCCAGCAGCTGAGGAGGAGGTCATCATGCTGGACAAAGACACAGAACCGCTTTGGTTTTCCTCAACCAGCACATCTTCTGAAACACACAGGACACAGTGAACTGTAACTGGTTGTAAGGGGTGGGGACTTGATTTCATTTGCAGGCACATCGATATGTTTCCCCGCACTGCTGCATTTCATGTCAGATTGCAATTTCTCAGATGTCTTGCCCAAAAATTATCAAAGAGTTTAATTAGGGAATTCACAAAAAGCTTTGTTGGGCGGTTACTCACAAACTGCATCTGTCACACCACTCTTTTAAAAATGGCCACTTACCAGTCTACATAATAGCAGGAACAGTGCTAATAAAGTGAGGTCTGAACAGTCTATCTGTTCATACCAGGGAAATATGAAATCATAAGGATGTCCATTAAATGCACAAAACAACTGTACAAGTGCAGATAAATAGCAACAGCTCCCTTACCACTCCATTTTAAAGAAGTGGTTTAATGAAGATGCTATTGTCAGACCATCCAGTGGACTGTGTGCATGACTGTCTCCTAGGATTGGTATCACTGTCAGCATTTATTGCAGTAATCATCTGAGTACATAGAGGTAGGGTTATTGCAGCAATAACCCTCATTTCCACTTCTGTATGGTGTCAGCATTTAAAATGGTAGAGCTTTTAGCATTGTCTCTTTGTATTTTTTTTTTATCTGCTACTTATCTAAAGATAAGTAGCAGATAAAAAAACTTATCTAAAGACCCACACCCAAAGTTCTTCCAGCTAAAGAAGTATTTTTTATTGATGGAAAGACAGCCTTTTCATAAAAGTGGGTTGTCTATCCAATAAAAAGATGCAAATAGGTTTGAAATTAAAGTTACATGATCAGAGAAAAAGGTCTGTGGCATACGCTTTTGCTCAAGAGGTACAAAGCCTAAAACTGCCAGAATGCACTGCCCCACACTGGACCAATATTTGCTCCTGCTGGTGGGTGATGTAATGTGAGTGTGTCTTCTTTTTTCACAGTAAACAACACAGCAGCCAGCTTGTAACAAACAATCTCGAATTACAGTTAAACAGTACACTAAAATATTTTTCTGAAAACATTTGAGATGAGAAATAGGCAACACAGTAACAGAATCTTGGTTCATATTTCATCAGCAGTGCTTAGTTTTACCGTTTGATCTCAGTTTTTTCAGCCTGTTTCTTACAATACAGGAAACAGTATGGCGTCCAATTCCTGTTCACTAATTCTCATACTACAGCCAAACAGTACACTTAAATATGTTTCTGAAGACATTTTAGGTAAGAAATAGGCAATACAGTAACATAGTCTGGGTTAATCTTTGATCAGCACTGCCTAGTTTCACACTTTGACTGAAGTTTGGTCTGAGTTTGAGAGAGCTAGAGGGGCAATTTTCTCGCTTCTATAGTTTTTGTGTGCGTGGTAGCAGGCATTTAAAAATGATTAAGTACAATCTGTAGTTCGAGCAACAGAGGAGTTAACCACAGTTCATTTACACCTACAACCTGCACTGTTATGGTACAAAGCTGGTTGAAAATTTGCAAAACATCCCTTTAAGAAACTGGGGCCAGTTGCACAAAACACCTACGTTTTCTCCCTAAGTATGACACTTAAGGCTCAATTTCTCCTTAACTGAGGGACTTACACAGTTGCACAGAATCCCTTAAAAAGGTTTCCTTAGTTAAAGAAAAACGTTAACTCATGTAGTGAGTTAAAAGTGATTTTACAGCAGTAAAAGTTTCCATGGAGATTGTTTGTTTGCTTGAACTCAAACTTTTGATGCCTGTCATCTCACAAAGTTGGCTCATAGTTGGATAGTGCAAAGATGGCAGAAGAAGACAAGAAAACCGTATTGGTCAGAGAAGGAAAAGATTAAACTTGGTCATGTTGCAGTTAAGATAGAGTTATAGGTAACTTCAGTTTGTTTTGTTGTTGTTGTTTTTTTTAAATTGTTTTTCCTTGCTTTTGTTGCTACATTTTAAGGAAATCTTAAAGAGAAGACTTAAGGGTGTTTTGTGCAACAGATTTTATTTTGAGGAAACCTCAACAAGGACTTTCAGGAAAATCTTAACTTTAGGTGTTTTGTGCAACTGGTCCCTAATGTTACAAAAAAAGGTGGTCTGGCAGGTGGGCGGTCAGTGGTACTTCGGTTGACCGATTCCGACAAAACATCAATTTGCAGGCAAACAGTACACTAAAATATGTTTCTGGAAACATTTGAAGCAGGATATACGCAATGCAGAATCTTTATTTATATATCATCAGCGCTGATTAGTTTGACCACAGTTAACAAGCAATGACTGACATGATTGACAGCCTTGTCAGAGACTCCTCCGCTCTGATGGAGACTACGCATAATTCCATTTTAAGACTACAGCAGGTGATTTTCCTGAAGGAGGGTTAATCAGTGAAATCACCAGCTGTCATCTCAGCTGCAATGGAAACTTGTATGCACTTTACTCTCCATGGCTTGTGAATGAGAACCCTTAGCCTAACTGATTAAACGGCTAATCCTGTCAGACCTACATCTCACCCCAGCTAAAAACAACCCATCAGTGCTCATCAGATGTCAAACAGAAACATGCATGCTTTCAATGCTTTAATGGTGTTGCTCGCTCACAGGTGTCTTTTTTTTATTGGATGCGGGCATGTGTCGTATGCTGTAAAGCCCTGTGAGGCAAATTGTGATTTGTGATATTGGGCTTTATAAATAAAATTGATTGATTGATTGATTGATGTGCTAATAGAGATTATTAAAGCCCAAGCTGCTGTGGTGGTGCTGTTCAGAGAGACTACAGACAAGACAGTGCAGCTACTCTACTGCCTCCTTCTCTGCTGTCTCTCAACAGCTTGCCATCTATTCTGGTAAAATGAGGAGCTGCCATGACTGTGATTAAGTCACGGCCTCAGAAGCATGTGCAGTGTATGTGTGGGAGAGAAACTCGAGAGAATGGCACGAGACAGACCAAACGCGGCTGACATGTGTGGCACCTATTTTCAACTCTGCTCCACAGACCCTGTGACCTAAATAGCCATTAACAGATCAGCAACAACCTGATTTTTAATCCAGCTCCCCCTGTCAAGATCTGTTGGATTACAGGGTTACAGTGAAGGCAACTAGATGACTGGACATCAGGCCGCAACAGACATCCCTCTGCCAGCTCCCATAATCCCTCTCTCCTGTTCTCACGTGTTCGTTAACTTGTTCATTCACTCAATCCATGAATGAGCACCTGCTGCACTTAAGTAACCCCACAAACTGTGCTGTCCTCCTCAGACTGTCACTCAATCACAGCATCACGAGAAAAAGGCCGATAAGTTTACAACATAAACACTGTAAATGGGTCTTTTTGTAAATCCTGTTGGAATGTTTGCATGGTGGATAACATCCGCTGACAGGAAGTAAACATGGACGCAAGCTGTTGCCTTGCAATGCATTGCCAGTGAAACAGTCGATAATTTATATATATCACATTAAGAGCTGCAAGACTAATCAAAAAAATTCATCACGATCTCAATTCATATGTCCATGTGACCTCATTTCTAAATGACTTGATTCAAGAATCCCAGTTGCTATGAAGTGTTCAACTCAACGGCTCAACTCATGTTTGTGCAGCAGCCCAGAGTTTTAAAGGTGTTTAGTTTCTCTCCTGCGTTGCTGTTTGTGCTTTCAGATATCTGCCGTATTTTACTGTGTTATGTTTACTTTCAGATGGATAGGATTATGCGTTAAGTCACTGCAGACGAAAACCCAGTATTTCCTGTTTTGGCTGCTTCACAATAAAAGTTAATAATAACAAAACAACGTATGTCTTTTGTCGTGGCAGGAAATGAATCATCCACTGTTTTACAGACGCTTCACTCAAGATAGGTGTGTCATATTATGGTCAGTGTATGTGTGTATGCATCCTTATTCTATGTGTATGTGTATGAGTGTATGTGGTCAGTGTATATGTGTATGCGTCTTTATTCTATTTTTTAGTCAGCAGAATTTTAGTTAATCACCTAGATGTTACAAACTAAGAGACTAAAAGAGACTTGAGGGTTTTTTTTTTTGTTACAAGAGACTTTTAAGTGCAGCACTTTGGTATATGTTATATGTAAGTCAAGCACTTTGATAAGTGTTATGGTAATGTCATCTGCTTCAAGCCCTGTGTAGACAGCAAGCATCACAGACATGTTTTTTCACTTGAGCTTCTAAAGAGTGCAATAAATGTCTTTGTTGAAAACATAAGAATTACATGAGAATCGGTATCTCAGTTCTTAGAGGGAAAAATCATGATTCACATTTTAGCAAGAACATTGCAGCCCCAATTATTTTATTCAAGGCATTTATGTTTATGCAACAAGAGTGAACTGTGCAGTGAAACTAGGTCATGAGCTACCCTGTGCCATCCTGCTTATTGTTTATTAAGTTAATCATACACACACACACACACACACACACACACACACACAAACACACACATGATCTGCCCAGAAGTCCACAGCCTTTGATTGATGGCCAACACAACAGTTTGATAACACTCGCGTCCCCATGAATCATTTATGCTATTATAACACACAGTCAACAGCATGCAATACCAATTATTGTGTTGTTAGGCAGAGAAAAACATGTTTTACTAAACAACAATCTGCATAGAGAGAACGAGGAGAGACGACTTCAATATTCCTTTCAGTATTGGTTGTTAATTTCAACATGGTATACAATTATTTGTCCCGAAAACAAATTAATCAGCAACTAATTTGAGAATTGATTAATCAATCATTTCAGTCATTTTTAAAACTGATTCCAGCTTCTTATATCAGAAGATTTTCTGGTTTCTTTCTTTACTCCTCTGTGACAGTAAATTTGAGTATCTTTGGGTTGTGGACAAAACAAGACAACTGAGAACATCATCTCAGGCTTTTAATCAATGTATTCTGATATTTTATAGACTAAACTACTATTGATTAATTGAGAAAATAATCAACAGATTAATCTGCTTTAAAATTAATCTTTAGTTGCAGCCCTAGTTTAAAACTACTCATATAAAAACACAAAATAAGATCCTCTGGTGATTACAAGTTCAATATAGCTATGATGAAAGGTTCACTGTGGCATCCTGACTGGGCATTTCAATGAGCATGCCCTGCAAAATCTTCTCCAACTGACGAAGGCTTTCAAAAGTGGCAGCCATTTTATCGCTCTAAAAATCAAACTTCCTCACAGAACAGAATGCTTTACAACCAACAACAGGTTCAAAGCCAACTAAAATGGAATATCCTCCAGAGCTAAAACAATTGAGATTTGGGAATGAAATATTTTGGTAATTAATCGGTTACATGATTTTTTCTGAGAATAAATGTCAGTTGATTCCAGCTGTGAGGATTCTCTGGTTTTCTTTGTCTGTTTGCTGATGTCCTAGTAGCTTCACAATACTTACAAAAATTTGTCAACGACTCCACAATCAATTCAAGCATAGTTGTTGAACTAAAGCTTCCAAAAAAAAATTATAAAAAATCCTCCTGTATTGATTCCAGATTCATCAGGCAGTTCAAGAACAACACAAATAGATCTGGGCTGTTGCACATCTACAAGATGGTTTAGGCACACTAATGAATGTTTGATGTTTAAATGTTTAGCCTTTTCAATCTTCCACTCCAACAAAACAGCATGTCAATGTCATAAACATAAAACAACAAGAGCCTATGAAACAGGCAGAGTCGTTTCCATTAACCCTAGAAATGCACAAAACCTAAATATCGCAATAAAAAACTGGGGGCCGTCGGTGGCTCAGTGGTAGAGCAGGCGCCCCATGTACAAGGCTGTTGCCGCAGTGGCCTGGGTTCGACTCCAGCCTGTGGCCCTTTGCTGCATGTCACTCCCTCTCTCTCTCCCCCCTTCACACTTCACTGTCCTATCAATTAAAGGCAAAAAATTCCCTAAAAAATATCTTTCCAAAAAAAAAAAAAAAAAAAGGTAATGGAAACACATTTCGAAAAAACTCAAATATTGAGAAAAAGTTTATACGCTCTCATGAGGTGGTTTTTCCAGACGTGTTGATATATATATATAAGTATATCGCAAAAGTGTAATGGAAACACTTTTGTTGCAAATATACATCACCGGACATGACATTGGTGAATTCTTCGTTCACGATCCTCTCTCAGAAATCCTTTATCCGTGGTCGCTGCCACACATAAGGACTTTGCCTTTGGAATACCACTCGCTCTCTTCGTCTTCGGTTGTAGACTACTGCAACAGCGGCAACCGAGATGATTGTTCCAGCTCGCACGAGATTTGGAATGTCCATCTTACTTCCGCAAACAATGTGGAGTCTCGTGGGATGAGATTTTACAAGAATTACAGCTCATACTTTTTAATGGAAACACCTGCAAGTCGCAATTGTACTTTGACCAAACTTTAGAAATATCGCATTTATTTTGCGCAAAACTGTAATGGAAACGCAACTATAAAGGGCAGGGGCTTTTTCATGGACAGTGTTCCTAAAATTAGCCTAGATATGAAAATTTATCGTCTTACCAACAGTATCGCAATAAATTGCAGTATACTGAATAGTAACCACTGTATCATTTTACGATTTTTACGGATACACAGCCCTTCTTAATTATGGCTGCAATGGTATGAGATTTTTACAATACAACAATCGTTGATGGTTGAACAAATTCTTCATTACTAAAACTGAAACTTGAAACCATTTTGTTAATAGAAGTATGTGTAAAAAGTCTCCACTTATAGATAACTACAATAAAGAGGGGATGACCTGTCCAGCTACATTTATTTTTTTTATTTTTATTTTTATTTTTTTTATTTTTTTTTTTAGATTTGGTAGATCGTAGATCAGCAAATGTACACGGCAGGATAACCATCAACTTATATGTCACGGTAGATCTTAATACTGGTATATTGCTGCACCCCTTTTACAAATCTAGTAGGGATGCACAATATTGGAGCCGATTTCCGATATGCTGATACGTAATAACTCATTTGACCGATAACTGACACCAATATCAATATATCTACTTATTTCCCCACCTAATGTAATGCATGCATACTCTTATCGTAATGGCCCACTAGCACATGAAATACAACACTTTTCAATGTATGTAATATCTATTCATTGTGCAAAATAAGAAAAAGCATCCTGGTCGATTCTGTGATAGTTCATTTTAAAGCCTTATGATGTGCCGATATTATCATGCGTCCCTAAAATCTAGTGTGTCTAAAATACACTTAAAATGGCTCACGTTGCTGTATTTATATTTCAGGACATACATTCAATATAAACATTTTAATTGATCTCTTGAAACAAAAAGCCCATAGTATGGCTCAGTTTAAGCCCTGTGATGGCTGTGTCTGATCTGTCCTTCGCTTTAATAAATGGTGTTAAACACATAGTAACAGGGGTGGCCATCAGTAGATTACCATGGATGTTTAACCAGGAACACTACACTCACAGTTTCCATCTCATGTTTATTTCGACAGGTGCAGTAAAGTTAGTCACTGACTTACTGATTTCATTTATTAGAGTAACTTTTTTGACATGTATCGTTGCAGTGACTGTCAGGAGAACATGAAGATGGTACACGGCTAACGTTAATTTACAGTAGCGCCCGCTTCGTCTTAGCTAACATCAGACCGCTGGGTCGACCGACCATGTAGTTATCTATTCGGCCTAAACTGCACCAAACATCAATGCTAGCTTGACACACAAAGCTTGGACTATCAGAGAGTCAAAAATATCCACAGTGACAACTTCTCCTGGGCTGTGAGACCATCTTTAACTCGGTCGGTTTGAAACCGTTGCTCCGGTAAACAGGCCTTGCTACCAATGCTAAGCTAACACTTGGCTCAGTCAATCATGTTAACGCTAGCAAACACCACACATACAACGTACATTTAATTAACGTTAGAAGCGATGACAGGTAGAGGTATAACGTTAGTCATATCGTGCAGAATACGTTAGTGATATGATAAACAACGTCGTGCAGCGTTACATAAATGGCGTAGAGGGCGAGTTTGCTCTACTGATCTACTGACCTAGTTTTGGGATAGCGCAAAGTTACGGTCAACCGGTGAGACGTCGCTAAAAAACACACCGCTGCGCTTCTCTGTTGTGTGAGTAAACCTAAAGGTCTGCACATGGTCACCCACCGTAAACATTCAAACTGGTGAAAAAGCTTTAATAGTGTTTCAATTACCTGCCGGTTCGCCTCCCGCTCTGTCACCGCCGCCAGCCGCTGCATTCATGGCCGACATGGCTGGAGCCGGAGCCGGTGCACTGGGGCCCAGGACTCCAATGCATGGATGAGACGGGGAGCCGGGACGGCGGCAGAATGTTGTTCAACTCCCTTATAATCCCTGTATGAAGACAACCGTTCACCGGGTGGCTGTATATATATATCTATGGTGTACGGTGCCGTCAGACCGGAGGAGAGAACCGGAGGGGGGGAACGCGGAAGACAGGACACAGACTCCTCCTACCGGCACACCGGAGTCACCGTTGCAGCCTCATTGCTCCTCTGCTCCCTGGTTACAACCGGAGGATCCGTGTAAGTGCAGTGTTGCATGGCCCGTTGTATGGAGAATCCCCCAAATTTTAATTCATGGTAAAGAACGTTCTGATTATATGTATAATAATCACAGAAAAATACTGACCTCACATCAGTTACTTTGCAAAATCAACTTTTTTTTAATGATGGAAATCTTAGCAGAGACGTTTGGTCAGACGCTAGTTAAAGGCGCTGTATGTAAGAATGTGGCCAAAACGGTTACTGCACTCAAATTCAAAATACTGCCGCGAGTCGTGTCCGCCCCCCCTTCCCTACAGATTCGAGGTTGCTGGACAGCGGCATGCTGGAGACTGATTTGTTCGCCCACGGACGGCTGCAGTGGCAGGGCCACTTCGCCGCGTCTGTGATCTTCGGTTTTCCAGCGGACTGTTCGAGCAAGTCCAGCTTCTCTGCTGCTAACGCTGCTTAAAATATTTTTTTAAATGTGAATATTCTGGCTGTACTATTGTTGTCGGTGAGATCAGTATGTTATATGAACATTATTCCTTAGTGTCTGTGACATTAGGAGGATTTTATGACTATTTGCTTTAGATTTCTTACATATAGCTCCTTTAATTCCTCATTCCAAATAAGGGACTGTTCCTTACTTGTGAGAGGGAAAGGTGTGATGCAAAAATATGGAGGCATGTCAAATATTTTTTTAAGCACTGGGGAGGAACTTGTGTTTTTTTTTATCTTCATACAACTTTAATTGGCTGAATTTTTTATATATTTTTTTACAGACGATTTTTAAAGAAAATATGTCGTTTGAACCCACGTTTTCTTTAAAATTGCCAAAATTGCACCATTTCTGTAAAAACAGAAATTATTGTTGGAATTTCACATGAACACATGATGTGGGATGAAAGCTTCTGTCACAAATAAAAACATAAACAAATCTAAGATTAAAATAGTGGTATTTTGCCCAGGAGGCATACTGATCAGATGCCCGAAACACCTCAACTGACCCCTTTCGACACGTAGGAGCAGCAATTGTCACAGACCACAGGAATAACACTTTTATTTTCAAGTGAACTTATCTTTCATATAAATTTGTGCATGTCTTCCACCGCTGCCATGGTGTAAACCACTGACAGGAGACTCTGAAAATATTACAGTACCTAATGTCTCTATTTCAGCTGAGGAGAGAACGCAGCCATGGCAAGACAATATCAAAGTTTGTCATGGGGCATTATCAGAGTGTGGTCACAGAGGTCAGTCCTCTTGCTGCAAGGTTTGTCTTTGACATTATCTGTCTCGTGAGAGAGCAGCAGTGATTGGACTAACTAATGCAGCAGCTGCACAGCGAAGGGTTGGGTCCGGGCATTTTTAGGCAATTCTGAGCAACAAGCAGAAGAATTGGAAGACATTTAGGAATTTAGCAACACAATCTGCCTTTTGCATCAGCTGAGGCTTGAACTCACAACCTCTGAGACTAAGAATCAATTTCTATCTCACTGAGCTAATTAGTCAGTGAAAGTTCATGTGTAGCTTCACAAATTGACTAAGCCAGACGTGCAGGTTTAGCAGCCGTCCATGCATGGAAAAGCAGATTTCAAACCACTGCAAAAAATCCAGTTATCGAAACAAAAATCTGAAAATACACATATTGCATCTAGACAGCATGGAGATGTTGGTAATTTATTTTAACAATGACTGATTTGCTTCATAAGTGAAAAACTGATGTTTAACTAGTTGAGCTATGTGCAAAGTGAGAAGCCTCAGATGGTTTCACACTGAAGTATTGACACTGGATCTTTGTGCAAAGTTTAGTTTATTTTCAAGCATGAGAAGGCAGATTTTCTAGCAGAAAAAATACTTGAAGATGCTGCACAGTGATCAGTGACGTTCAGGCAATTTTAAGCAATAAGCTGAAGCACAAGAAGATGATTGCATTACAATGTGGATTCTGTACCAGCTGAGGCGCAAACCCGCAACTTCTGGAACCTAAGACGGTCATCTACTGCTCTGAGCTAATTGGCAAGTAGTAACTCAACAGTGGCTTCACAAATTAGGTAAGCCATTCACTGTTGTGTAGGAAAGCAGCCATCTGTGCATGGAAAGGCAGATTTGAAACCACTGTAAAAAAATTCAGTTATTAAGACAAAAATCTGAAAATACACATATTGCATCTAGACAGCATGGAGATGTTGGCAATTTGTTTGTAACAATGATTGATTTGCTCCATAAGTGAAAAACTGATGTTCAAAATTACCATTTTTACATTGACTCCAATTGTTCACATTAGAGCAAAATTCAAAATGCTGTCAAAAATTCAGTTTTTGAGATAAAATTCTGAAATTTGCCACACATCATCTACCATGACTCTAGAATTTTGTCTTTTTTTCATGAACAATGAAGATTTATTTAGCAAGAATTTGCATGTATATGTTTACAGTACCGTTTACAGTCAAACATTTTGATGCACTGTAGGCTCAATTTTTGATAAATTAAAAATAATGACAAGTGACTGCAATTGGTTTTACAAATATAAACGTTATAATGCTTTTTCCGTTTTATTTGGCGCTGACACAGACACCACTACTGTCCCTTTGGTACCAGATTGGCTCTGCCCATCATCACTGTTTACAAACACAAAAAGGGTCTATTCATAGGTTGGTTGGATAAATTCCCAAATGCGTCTCTATTGTTGGGAGGGGACATAAATAACATTCTGGATGGTTAGATGGATGAATGGCCACCTGCTTGGCAAAATAGAAGTAGATTTAACCTTGTAGATATTTGGAGTGTCCTAATAATAGATCATTTACACAGAGTAAGAATGGTTCAAATCAATCAAGGTTTGACAAAGATGGCATTAATGAGAATAAATACCCCCCCCTCCTCTCACAGATCATGAAGCTATATGTGAAGCTAATCTGATAATCAGAAAAACCTGGTTTACATGATTCAGTCCTTCAGTTGGATTTCTCCCCAAGTACATGACATAAAACTCAAACTTCCTGTTACAGTAGGTACTCATATCCTTGAAAAACCTTGAAAAGTATTCAATTCATATATTTTCATAATAAAGCACTCATCATTTTGACATTTTTTATTCTTACAGTACTGTTTGTTTTTATCATTAACAAATACATGTGAGAGCATTCTAATGTGTAGTTTATCAATGTGGAGCCAATTTTACATACTTTGGGTAGATTCAGAGTAAAAGTACTGCAAAGTGCAATATACAAGTGTATTGTATATAAACTTGTCACATAAAGTGCATAACATATAAGTAAGATAAAATAAAAGTGACAATTTAAACACTGAGAATATAAAAATATATTATTTTATGTAAAATCTTTATCTGAAAGGAAACAAAAGCTGTCAGATTAACGTAGTGGAATAGAAAGTACAATATTTCCCTCTGAAATGTAGTGGAGTGGTAGTATAAAATAGCAAAACCCGAAAGAAACCAGATTAAAGGGTATACATGCACTGAATAATCTGACTATTGGGGAAAAAGCTAGATGTGTTTATCTGATTTCTCATAATCAGATAATCTGATATCCGATAAAGCCTATCAGATTATGCTGTTTACATACCACTTGAATAATCAGGTAACTCCAGAAATCAGATAATGATCGGTTTATTAGTGTGCATGTAAACGCGCTCAATGAGAGACTTCATCCTCACTTGAGCTGGCTTAATTGCAGAACATCACAACATGACCATCATGCGGTTACAGCCTCGACTAGCTCCGGCATATTACTGCCTACTGCGCTTCTCAATAACACTGAGGCCCTCTACTGGTCTTAAACTGTAACAGCATACAAAAGTTACTTTATAACATCCCTCAACTCTTAGATCTAACTTCACCACAACACACAACAACACACAAATCCGACTTAACCAGAAACATTAAATGAATTAGAAATAACAAAACTAAAGAAGTTTATCCACCGTATTCCTAGCATTGCGTGAATATGGGTGCAACTTCCGGCTTGTTACGGTAGCCTAAATTAGTAACAAATTCTCAGCCCTAATGACTTAATACATATTTCAAGGTATGTTGCTGAGTTTATTTTATAGCGATCAATTTTCTAATGTAGGTTGAGAATGAAGTCAGACAGGGAAAGACAGGGATATCATGCACTGACCTTGAGTGATGGTTCTGTCAGTCTAGGTGTCATTCTCCTCTGCAAATTCTGATTTAATACTTTTTCGCTATGTCTCGTGAAACTCTTGTGGTTTTATTTCTGATATCAGTGGTACCATTGGCAACAGGAACAATCCCTTTTTGTTCTGGTTACATGTTCTCCAAACAGTTGCTGAGGACACAAATTTATCTTAGACTGGTTGTTAGTTGTTACAGACACAGACAGTGCAACAGGTACCAGAGCTTGGCAAAGACATTTTAGAAAATGCTAAGTTATCATTAGTTAAATATTTGTTAAAAAATAAATCAGTATTTGCTAAACTGAAGGCAAATTACTTTAGAAAAGAATCAGCGCTGGAGGTTAGCCACCAAGAGTAGCCATTGGGACAAACCACGGACAGTCTATGGGACTAACTAACGTTAGCTTACTACGTCATATGCTCTCACATGTGTCTTTAACTCAAGAAAAATCTTTTATTTGAAATTATTCGTCTTTTATGCGACTTGAGATTCTGATGTGAACAGCCAAATCTTTATTTAAGACCTGACCGTGTGTTTTTTGAACATGACTACAATGTAAGAGAGGGTAGGCAAAATCCAGAGTCCTCATTCTGTGCCTAAATTCTGCATGCTTAAGTTCAGCTCAATATAATGCAAGGCTCCAGTGGTCTAATTTGGATTAAATAGTCCATCCGGCATGGTTTAGGAAGGACACACTGGCAAAAAGAGAGGCTTAAAAACTGTGACTGTAAGACACCCACATGATTTTCTGACTGAATTTTTGTCAGATTCTTTAAATGAGACCCCATATGGCTTGACCACAGGTTTCTTAGGTGCTCACAGGAACCATATTGCCACCCCTGAAAAGAGATATTTGATAGCCAGCCCAGCAATAACAATGATTAGTTAAATATGTACTCAGTGTAAGTATTGTGTGGATAGAGTCTGCTGGTTCTAATTTAGTTCTCATTTTAAACACTGTTGACTGTTCTGCAATGACAAACAGGTTCATAAAGGTGCAGTGTGTAAGATTTAGGAGGAATTAGTGGCATCGATCGGTGAGGACTGAAGCAACCAGCTGAAACTTCGCCTGATAAAACTTCCTTGAGTGTTCATGGTTCAGGGGGTCTTGACCAGGAGAAACTGTCTGCAGAGGTCCTCTCGTCTCCAAAACAAACAGACCAGTTGCCTTGAACAGGTAAAAACAGTGAATAACGCAGATTCTGACACTGCTTGTGGCATAGGGGCTGCTGACTACCCTGACCAATGTGAAAACACTAACGCTGGGTTCACACTGGATGCAGAAGCACCACGAAGCGTGCTGATTTTCCGTGAAGCGCCCATCTTCTTTCGGTGCCTGCGTTAACTGATTGGGCCTTTCACACTGGATGCAGCATCGAGCCGAGCACCCTGGCCAGCTCACGATCTGCAGCGGTAGTTTCAATCACATACACTCACACACACAGCCACAAGCAGTGGCCAGTGTTTGGTTTGTCCCTTCTGGGCTACTGTAGAAACATGGTAGTGCAACATGGCGATCTCTGTAGATGAGGACCTGCTCCCTGTGTAGATATAATCAGGCAACTGAAAGGTCATGAAAACACATCAATTCTTTTTTTTTTCAGGTGATTATACACTGAAGAAAATCCCATACTCGTTGCGTTATATTCCATCTCTGCTGATATATCCCCTAAATCCCACACACTGGCCCTTTCAGTCAAGTTAGGTGGAAGATGATCTTTACATTAATTCAACTTTGCATTTTTACTTTCACACATGGCGAGGTTTGTTTATTATCATTTTACCTTGCCTAGCAAACACAACTAAAAAAAAACAGAATTTAAAATAGAATAAAATTTGTTAACCAAATACAGTTGATCAAAAACTGTTTTAAGTGAATGAAAAAAAATAACACGATGACAATAAGAGTAAAGGTGCTAATAGAATAGGTGAATAGAACAGAGTTGAAAAGTTGCTTATAGAACCAGTCAGCTCACACACACTGTATCTCCATGCCAACCCAACCCTTCACCTCCTCTGCACCACAGTCCCCTACATAACTCTCAAACTTACAACAAAAGATGATGTTGTAGATATGAGATATATGTAGAATTTATACCCAGTTTAGATGTGGATACACCCATTGGAGCAGTGTAAAATTTGGCAAGGTAGTAGTACCCAAAATACAGATATAATACATCAGAATTTCCTCTTAAAACATGCTTCATTAAAAAGATTGACCCCAAACACTGTTGGATATGTGTACATAGACCCTCCAATATTAACATCATCTCACCCAGACCGTGTAACTGTAAAATATCGATTTGCTTTTGACCATGAAAAAAAATGTTCCACTAAATCCATGAAGTATACTTTAAATGTATGATGCAGAGCATTAGAACCAAGAAAAACTATGAAAATTTACCATTGCAACTTGGATTTTAGACTGACTGAAATAAAAGCACAATTATTTCTCATGTTAGTTTCACTTCCACAATGGGTAGATGATGTCTCTCTGCAGAATCATCTGGTGATGTGTCATATCCTCCTCCTAACACTAGATGGCAGACATGACTTACTCAGGAATGGAAAGATTTAGAGACTATGCTGGTTCAAAGGATCCATGGCCTCATATTTAGATTTTACATTTAGAACTAGTGTTGCATCACAAATCCATAGATTAGTACTTTAAACAAAACTGTTTGCTAAATTTAAGAACTGCATGATTGTGGTTTAGGAAGCAGTACAGCTGAGTGGAGCAGAAACAAGTTCAACATTTAGTTGATTAACATCTGGAGTGTTTGGCTGCACTGTTGCCACTGTGATGTATGCATGTGCCTCCTTACCAGACTGCTATGTAATTATAGCTGCATCATTGCCATTCACTAACTTAAAATGTGATCACCGAAGCATCAAAGGTCTTGCTGGTTAAATCTGATAATTTTGTTAACCTCAAAATTGTATTTATGCTGTAAAGACTGTCTACTGTAAGCCACCAAAATCTATTTATTTAGATAGGTATTTGATTTACTTAGATCACACAAACTTTCAATCTAATTTCTGAAGTAGTGTCTTATTTCCATGCCATGCAATACCTGCAAAAGAGAAGTCCGCTCCATTCATATTTCCTGTAATGGAGCTGTGATATTTCTGGTACAAAGAACCTTATTTATTGAAAGAGTGTCCACTGGGGACTGAGCTCTCAGTGTATTTATGGAGTGCATAAACAGCCGGAGTACCAGCATCACGCTGAGCAGTCGCTCCGCAGTAGCCCAACACTAAAACAGGCTCTTAGGCTCAGGCCCACACCATCCGGTCGACTGTTTAAATTTTAAAATCTCAATTTCTACATTTAAAAAGAAGGAAACTCACTCTTGGAGATGTGAGTTTCCCCCTGCTTGCAAGAACACATTTCATGGGATTGCCCATCAGTGTCAAATAAGAGATGTGGTGTTGGTGCTCCCTCACAAATGCAGACATTGTGAAAAGGAGTCATGGAAAAGCTGGTGTGTAGACCTGGAACTTGATGGCTCTGTCTAAGGTTTCACCTGCTCCCGTTTTACACCACAGCCGTCCAGCTTCTCCTGTCTCTCCTCAATGCAACTTGTCAAGCTCATGCATATTTAACTGTTGGAGCTGCTATCAGATGAACCTAACTACCTGAAGGGGTGGTGCTGGGGAGATGATGGCGATGATGATGTGTAAAGTGAGGGGGCTGGGTTTTGGAATACCAGCTACACCTGCCCCTCCTCACCAGGGATGGATGAGTTATGAGATGGAGAGGAGATCTAAGCGGTTCATTCAGTTCAGCTGCAGACAAAAGGGGGCCCGGCTCACAATGCTTAGAGACTAAAACCTGGATTCTACACTTTTATCTGCTCTCTCCATTCTCTTCACTGGATCTGTAGAAGATGAGACAAGTTCCAGAGGCTCTGGCTGCATGGTGCTGTGGACATTAAGGAATACTTCAACACCATACTCCCCTCCACATCTCCACTGAATCCTCACACCACAGAAAAGTGGAGAGGACAAGCCCGTTTTAACTCTGAGGGATTCGTGGCACCACTTAAAGGTGGAGCCAACCCCGGTGCCACAAACTCTGGAAGGATGATGAACAGCTTCTAGTGGATTTTCTCTCTTTGTCAGAACAGAGTGTGTAGTGAGGAATCAAGACACTGTTTTCAGATAACGGGGGAGGAAAAACATAGGCGCAGAGAAAAATGCCTTTTGGTGGTTTAGCTGGTTTGAAGGAACAGGTGCTGAAGCCTGGGAAGGAGGAAGTGAAGAGCACAGTGGGGGACTCTCTAGGAAAGCTGCAAAGGTGAGAGGGTGTGTATGGAGAGTGGTGGGAAGGAGGGTGTGTTTGCAGTTCAGATGTTGTTGGACTGCACAGGATAAGCATTTCTCTCACTGTCCACGTATTGTGTTCACAGTGGAGATTCATTAAATGAAATAACTGTAATGGAAACATCTGCTGTCAGAGGGCTGTGGAGAGCCTGGAAGCGAGCACATTAAGCCCAGCGTGTTCTAAGAGATCCTGACGATAAATAAATATTTGATTCTTGTGCTTGCCAGGCATTGCCAGTGATGTAATCACAGATTTTATTTTAAGACATTAATACATATTTCATATCTGATACATATTTCACAGAGGGATGTGGTGTGTGTGTGTGTGTGTGTGTGTGTGTGTGTGTGTGTGTGTGTGTGTGTGTGTGTGTGAGTATGTGTGTGTGTGTGTGTGGTGGGGGAGCCCCTCATTCTGTGAGGGAGATTGTTGTCATTTTAAGAGATAAAGGACTAAGTAGGCAATTTCCTTGGATATGAATTTTGTGTGTGTATTCTTAATGTGCATGCACCTTTGTCATGTGTAATAGGAATGCATTAGGTTATATTACGTTCAAGTGGAAAATGGGGATATTTTATACATAATATACTCATTGTAGATTTTGAAAAAAAATCTTTACTTTCAATTTAAAGAACAATCAGAGTAATTCATCAATTTGCTCAGTGTTTTTTGCAAGTGATTATTGTTGTATTGTATGGGACTGATGTAATAATAATGGACCCCAGGAAGAGTAGTTGCTACCTTGGTAGTGACTAATTGGGATTCAAATAAATCTATTAATCAATAAATCAATCAATAAATAATACATTATATATACAATTATTTTATTTTATTTTATTTTATTTTTATTTTATTTTACAGGAACAATACAATTTAACATAGTTCCAATACAGAGTATGGGACTGATGTGTTTCACAGAGAGTTTATAGCTATTGCTAATTTTCAACACTTGTTCCTAGTTGGACTTTTACATGTCAGCTGAAAATGTTACTACATATATACAGTCTAAAACATCTACTACGATGGACATACCACTATACACATACCACAATATATACACCAAAATACACATTCTACATACCAAAACACTTACACTAATACCCCTAGTCTGAATGCATTTCGTTACACTTTTCATCTACAGTTCATATATGATGTGAGTCTGACACTGATCACGTCCTGCTACCCTAAACACACTTATGTTATATTTTAAAAAAAACAAAACAAACAAACAAACAAAAAAAAACAGATAAACAAAATACTGGAAAACCAGACTTTTTGAGGACTTCAGAATTGGGAAGTTCATTTTTGGTGGCCTTTTTTGTTTAATGCACCAATGGAAATGTTGCTGAGATGGCTTTTTAATGTGGTTTAGAATTTCTGATGCAGCTGTTTATATGCTGAGACGCCTACCACCTGTATTAACTGTTGTTTCAAAGAATCGTGTCTGCAGTAAGTCTGATATGAGACTATATTTATACTACATATAGACTATATTTTGAAATCATTCCATTTTTTTGACTATGATGCAAAAGGCTTTGTTTTCAAAACGGTGTATTATTTCCACACTAGATAATAAAACGGCTGCAGGATTCCCAGTTTTGAACCCGCCAGTCTGCCATGACCCTACTGTGTGGAGTTTTCATGTTCTCCCTGTGTCAGCTTGGGTTTCGTGGTTTCCTCTTACAGACTATATACATACATGTTAGGTTAACTGGTGACGTTAAATTGCCTGTAGGTGTAAATGTGAGTGTGAATGGTTGTCTGTCTCTATGCGTCAGCCCTGTGATAGTCTGGTGACGTGTCCAGGGTGTACCCTGCCTTTCAGCCAATGTCAACTGAATAGGACAAGCAGTTAATGATAAAAGATTGATGTATAATATAATAACTGTGAAGACACTAGAACCCTGAGCTCAAAAAGTGATGGTCTGAGTGCTTGTTATCAGAAGTTTCTGTATAATTTGCTGGATAAGAATTGTAGCAAAGATCTGCTGCAGGCTAATGAAAGCAATTAGTAGGGGGACAGAGACAGAGGTGGATTCTGGGTAGTGGATCAGGTGTGGAGAGTGCTGCACCTGAAAGCAAACTGATCACAGCAGTGTGGTGACCTTTTTAAGTTGTGTGTCTTGACTTCACCTCCTGCCCTCTGCAAGAGAGCAGAGAGACTCGTGTTACTGTGCTGTGTTACAAAATCACAGAAAAAAGTGGTAGGACTATGGTGCGGTTATCATTCGAATATTATGTAGTCTGGAGATATTTGTATGACTTGAAATTAAATTTAGCTTAAGCACATTTTTGGATACTGAGGGTGGAAGACTAAATGAGAAAGAAAACTGGATGAAGACATATTTTTATTTCAAGCTGATCAGATTACACCTGACTAGTTCCACTGACGTTCACATGCTCTCACTGTGATTTCTTTCCCTGCTATTTGCGTCCTAGGAAAATAGATGGTAGTAACGTAGAAGAAGAGGATAACATTGAACTGACAGAGGATGGACGTCCGGTGGCTTCAGCGCCACGTTCTCCCCCACTGCTGGACTGCAGCTGTGGAGGTCTGCCCAAGCGTTACATCATCGCCATCCTCAGCGGGCTGGGCTTCTGCATCTCCTTTGGCATCCGCTGCAACCTTGGTGTGGCCATTGTGGAGATGGTGAACAACAACACCGTCTACATCAACGGGACTCCTGTGCTTCAGGTAGCTGGATCACATCAGACAGGACGCTGGGGGACTTAAATGCATAATGTGTGTCTTTTTTTCTTGTTGCACAGAAGATAGTCTGGCCCCAGAGAAGTAAACTAAATTGCAGTTTTAACCATTTTAATCAACCTATCTATGGTGCAGCCGGGTAGATTATGCCAAATGAATGCAGTTTCCAGATTTAAGCGCGCATCTCTTTTCTTTTCCCTCTCCAGAAAGCTCAGTTTAACTGGGACCCGGAGACAGTGGGGTTGATCCACGGCTCCTTCTTCTGGGGTTACATTGTCACTCAGATCCCTGGTGGTTTCATCTCCAACAAGCTGTTTGCCAACAGGTGACATGCACTTCATGACTTTCAATAGTTACACTGTGACACTGTCATCTCTGTTTTATGTCAGCATAAATTAAACTGAGACTTTTGGTCAGAAAACACCTGGATGATGTTGCTTTGTGCGCAACAATTTCTCAGCTATTTCATAAACCAAAGAATTAATTGATGGCAAAACTAATGATTACTTGCAATCATAGGTGTGTGTGTGTTCATGTTTGTGGGTGGGTGACTGGGATGCAAGTAGGAGAGGACTTTTATTTTGACAAGTTGACATTTACACAATACATTGGTGCAAAAAAGGCACAAATTGGTGCTTAATTGGCTGATGTCCCCCAACCCATATGTGTCCCTTATTGTTGCAACGAAACCTAGACTGAAAATTTTTTGGAGTGGCATTCACTTACTACGGGAAATCCCCAACAACACTCTTTACGAGTAAATTTCACTCAGACTATCTTTACATCTTATTACAAAACCCCCATAAAAATGTATGTGTGTATTTCAGGTTATTAAACTAGCTTTTATTTACTTTCTTTCAAGAAATTTTAAAGTAATATTTACATGATATCTAATCTTTCTACCACTCAACAGCCGTTGATATGGACTTCTTGCATTTGTAACATTTTTTTCTAGATAAAATTGTCTTAATTTAAGGTTTCAACAAAACATGAAATGAAAGATGTAATAAGAGCTGTTTTTAAACAGCACCTTTATTTCCACACTCTGTTGCAAGAGGTATTAAAACAGGAAACTTTAACAGTTATTTGCAACAACCACGCCACAACAAGACGAGCCTCGTAAATGGTTTATAATTGTGTTATTGATTACGTTTTCAACCCTTTTTACAGCAATATAACAACTACAAACAAGTTATAACACAGTTTTCAATAGTCGTGATGAGTGATGAGTCACTATTTGGCAAGATCTAGACACTGCTTTATATCTTAATCATGAGTCACCAGTTCTATTTAGCAAACAGCAGGTCACTGTTGCCCTTTATATCTAACGTGTTGCTTATGATTTAGTGTTTACAACCTAATTGATAACCCAATTTGAAACCATTTAAAATGTATTTATATTGACAGTCTATGCCCTAAACACAGTGCAGTGACAATTGGTGCTGTCCCTCATGACAGAGAAACTGTGATGCTATGTGAGGTATTCAGACAGATCATGTCTTTTTGTCTTTTGTTGATGTTATTCCACGGGTTGATGGTGATGTCATGGATGCTGCAGCCATGACATCACCACCACTAAGAAAGACTAAAAAACAGGCAAAGGTTTTGGGAGAGCACCTCCTCAGCCTGCGTGGTTAAAGGGTTAAAGCGGTATGGTGTGGTGAGCCGTGCTGATGGAGAAGATAGCAGTCCTGTAATAAAAGCTTCACAGGAAAAGAGGACACGCCACTGACAGAGTTAATAATGAAAGATCCTGCCTCTGATTTCTTTCTGAAACAGCAGCCACTGGAATATTACAAGTGTCACTTACACACTGTTTTGGAAAAAGAGAAGGAAGGGGGGATGAGGTGAAGGAGAGAAGAGATGGGCGCTAAGCGGCACCGTGGTGATGAAGCAGAAACTTGCGGATTGAATGGGATGTCTTTATCTCAGCGCATGAAAGGCAGAGGCGTGAGATCTGTCTCATTATAAGGCTGACTGAGATGCTTTGGCCGTGAGATATTTGGAGATATACTGCCTGCCAATATTAGACATCTACAGTAGCTTTCAGCTCTGGGTAGATGTGTTTGTTGTGTCTTTACCTGTTACTGACAGATCTGACAAATATCACAATGTAAGTCAACAATATGTTGTTTCTTAGGACTTTCTGTGGAAGAATTGTGTAGAAAATAGGACTCCTTGAAAGAGCTGCTCCATTTAAACTGAAGTAAATATTATTTATTTATTATTAGAATCCTTACTCTCATCCAGCTGTTGTTTCAAATGTTTCCCAAATGTTTTGGGAATATTTTTGGGGAGGATTTGGCAACGTTTATTGAACCTTCCTGCATAACATTCCCTAGAGGTTAAAATGGCAGCTTTTCCAAATAATGTTATCGTTATGTTCCCAGAACGTTTTGGGAAGGTTAAATGTTCCAGGAAGGTTTCTTGACAATCCTGCATAACGTTCCCTAGATGTTACAACGGCAAGTTTTCCTGACCTGGAACTAATGTTATTGTGACATTCCCAAAACATTACTGAGGGGTTACCTAAAAGGCTACCAGCACACAACCTAAGGGAAACGTCACAAAAAAACGTTATATCATGTGGTTAGTGGAACATTTTGGGAATGTTATGTTGAACAAAAAAAACTTTCTAGAACATTGTGGGAGGGTTACCTAAAAGGTTACCAACACAGAACCTCAGGGAAATGTTATGAATATTAGCCCCAAAACATTAGTTCATGAGGTTATCAGAACATTTTGGGAACATTATTTTGAATGGATTACTTAAAAATAAGTAATCAAAAACTCAGGGAAATGTTACAAAAATTACCCCCAATATTTTACTTCATATGGTTTGTATAGCAATCAAAGAATGGACTATATCAGTATAACATGGAACCCTCATATGTGAGACCTGCATATTTAATATGTAATATGTAACTGCTTCAGCAACATGTTTTTTTTTCATGCCAGTTAAATTTGAATTAAAAATGTGATGAAATTAAATTCAAGTTAAAAATTCTAAATAGAATTTTTTAAAAGACAAAACAGAATGTTATGATGTCATCATGTCTTTGAAGTTCAAGGCGATCCTGTGATATCATGATGACATCATTTTGCTTGCTGCGAATTGCGGTGTGGTTCAGACACATTTCTCACAGACTCAAATTTGGTACAGAGCCTTTGACTGTTTCAGTGCAGATCAAAATTGTACCTAATCTCAAACGGGGAGAAGGGAAACGAGAAATAACACAGAGGTCCAGCAGAACACGAACCTGCAAGTCATAGATTTATATTCTACAGACTTGGAACCTCAAATGAATTTCTGTCTAAGTTCACTACAAGAACAAGTTCGTTGTGAACTAGGTGATGATGAGGCCAGGCTCAGAGACGTAGGCCTCTAGTTTCGCAGACCTGGCGAGGCGGAGGCGCAGCGCACCTGCGCTTCGCTAACTGGGTGTGGCCAGGTGGATTTTGCAAGTTTGGCACACCGTGCGCGCTGGCGCAGCTACTCCTCTTTCCCACCTCCGTCCCTCCTACCTGTGCAAGTCGGAAAGAGGGAGGAGATAAGGCGTGGAGTGGGATTTACACAGCCGATTCACATCACACCAATCAAATGAGCCCCTCTCCTCACCCTTAAATGCGCCGCGCGAAGACGTAATGAGAGCTTCCTCAATTCGCCATGACAGAAGAGAGCAGCAGCGTCAGACGGCCAAACTTCTCCCAGGAGGAAACTGATGTTTTGTTCCGGGAGGTCCAAGCTCGCAGTGTCTGAATATACGGAACTGCGAGCAGACCTCCACGGGTTTCCATTACGCGTGCCAAACGTGCCAAACAGTGCCAATCTCCTTTAATCTGACATCAGATGTGACGGGACAGTCGATATAGATACATTTATGTGCTGATTGCAGATAGTTGCATTGAATAGTAGTTTTTGTGGGTATTTATTGCATTGTTAATGTGCCTGACATATTGGAAACCTGCCTGTGAGGTTTTGGTGATGTATGCACTGTCCGCCAGTCAGCCAAACTTCCGCTACACTGGCTGCGCTCCGCCTGCGCTGACAGTAGACCTGGTTTCAGCTGGCGAGCTTTTAGCGCACCTTCGGCGAAGCCTTTTGGCACTAAACTGTCACTGCTCCTAGCTGGATCTGTCGACACCTCCCCCTGCTGCGCCGCCACACCCATTTCAGTGCACCTTGGTCTGCCAAACTACCAAACTGAGCGCGCCTCGGGTTGCATTGCTCGAAACTAGCTCTACACGGGGTTTGCCACCCTGCGCCACACTGTGAAACTAGAGGCCAGAGAGTCCTCCTGGACATCAGAGAGGACTTGCTGGCCGAACTCCTCAACAAGCTCCAAGAGCAGCTGGAGAATGTCTGCGACCTGACCACTCCAACCAGCGAAACAACACTGCAGTTGGAAAGGATCAGCACAACACTCAGAGAAACCCAGAATGATCTTGAGCAGCAGGCAAGCATCAGTGAGGAACTGCATGCTGAGCTGGAGCAGATGAAGGGTGAGGATTGGAAGAGGCCCTTGATAATAACGTGGAGGCCAAGAGGTTGGAGGTCTGTCGTCACATGGAATTCCTTGCAGTGGCTAAAACCAGTGCTGAGCTTCAGATGGAGCAGACTGAAACCACCATGAGGTCGCACATCGATGATCTTGAGAGGCAATTTGCCAACAAGATGACGGCAAAGAAGTGGTACAACTACTTCTGAGATTGTTCTACTACCTATTCTCTCTCCTACACACACACACACACACACACACACA